AACCTTCGTTATTTACCAAGTACCACCGTATGTTTTCAAAGTTCCCTTCGGCAATTTTTTTTCCAGCCAGAGGTGCCTTTGTTAATACCAGAGATAGTCGTAAATGTCTTAATACCAGAGATAGTCGTAAATGTCAGGTGATCAAAGAGCGACCGCTGGACTTGTTGCTCGCGTTGAGATTCCAGCCACACTGACTCCACACAACAAGCCTGCCGAGGAGAGTCAGTGACCTGCGCAACGTTGGGGCGTGGCGCGCGACTCGCAAACACAAGAGGCCTATTTGCTGCAGGGCTCCTCCCACAAGGGCGCTTTTTCCCGTGTCATGGGTCGGCTGGCCGCACGCACTGTGGCCCAGCAAATCGATGAGACACGAAAACACAAGCCTGTGGTGAGACCGACTGACATGGCACGCTGGATGCGCAGGACCAAACCCAACGGAGGGCAGAAATTCAACCTACCGTCAAGTCCCCTAAATGTGGACACGAACCCTAAAGTGGGACATTTTGACTATTTTCCCTATTCTAGGCTGTAAACGGCTAACGCGTAGATATTTTGCGAGGTATAAAATGTTTTTGAGACGGTAGGACCCCTCCGAGACCATATCCGCAGAGAGTGTCTTGTTCCCGCTCATACCCCCTCCCCGAAAAAATCTTGAAAATTGGAATTTGATGCAGAAAAAAAGAGAAGTTTTTTCAGACGTCTAGCGCGGATTCAGGGCTTCGAGCCGTTGATGCTCAGACCATTCTAGACTTCAGACATGTTGTAGCGCGTTCTTTTATCTACAAGATGCACTTCAGAAAATTTGTTTCCGACGCTTCGTTTTACGGTGGGAAGCAATCTTCTAAGGGGCTGTAAAGTGGGACACACGAATTTTCTTCGTTTCTTTTAGGTTTTGACCGATTCAGAGGCGTTACATTCACCTCCAGCGTCCTACAAACGCCCGCAAACGCCGCCTGGTCTAGGTCCACTTGGAGGCCCAGGCAGTCGGGCAAGAACGGTTCGGTACGCTTTAAGTCAGCTCAAAATTTAAATGTTTGAAAGCAAATGCTTCCTCTTGGCTTAACCGAAAAAGATATCGTTATCGACCATAAAACAAATCTTGCGTAAAATTATATTTTGACCAAAAAACTTTTTAGAATAAAAGTTGCCTGGCAAACGGTTTTTAATTTTCAAAATTTCAACATCTATTTCTTGCCGTGCATTTCGAAACTTATAAAATACGACCTGAGCAAAAAATTTCATGAAATGTTTGTGGTCAGAAATTAAAGTTTAAGGCCATTTTGTTTTATTGGTTTTCGCCGTATTTCAATTGGTTTAGGCGCTACGGCGGTTTCTAATTTAAATATATCTAAGGAAAACTAATTGATTGAAGAGGCTCATAGCTTAACCAGTCGAGATATCGAAAAAGACTTCAGAACCAATCTTGCTTCAAATTAAATTTAGAACATAATACATTTTATGAAATCTTTTGCTACTGCAAGTTTTTGGGCGAAAAAGAATGAACGTGTCCCACTTTAGGGGACTTTGTCCCACTTTAGGAGACTTTGGCTCCTAAATTGGGACACGGTTCTTGCTGCTCATACTGGAGCCCCATGGGCTGAAAATTTTTTTTGTTTCCGGTAAAAGACGTGTTTTGACATGAAGATTCTTAAATCCCCGACGATTTTCGGTGTCATCGTTATTCTGTGAATAACAGACGATTTTCCGTAAAAATCGTCCCACTTTAGGGGACTTGACGGTACATTCTGTTTTAGTGGAGTAAAATAACAGGAAAAGTAGCGATACACATCGGCAACCTAGGCCCGTCCCGTACATTAACAAATGTGTGAATTTCGCCTTTGTTTAACCCTGACGGATTTGAACCTGAGTCTGGGGTCAAAATAAATGTTATTTTCGTCATCAGCGCCCTCAAAAACATAAGAAACAATGCTAAAACTCGAATGAAAAGAAAGTTTAAAATATACCCCACTGGGATTTGAACCCGGGTCCAAACTCCTCCGATTGCTTGAAACTAGCACCGTTGGTTTTGTCTCGTCGCCCAGATTCCAAAAATACCCCTACATGCCCTGCTAGCTGTATCCGTTGCCGAAATCCTCCTCGACCCCTTGTAGACCATGATGCACCTGCAGCAGCGCCCCCGGGGCTCGGATCGGATTTGCTACCACCGGGCGGTTCTTAGGGTCACCCAAGGAGGCTGCATACCAAATTTGGTCAAGATCGGACCACGGGAAGTCCTCGGACGAACGAACGGACGAACGGACGCACAGCAGGGATCATACTATATGCCCGTCCCTCCGTCATTTTTTAACAATAACAGGAAAAGTAGCGATATACATCGGCAACTTTGGCCCGTCCCGTAAATTAACAAATGTGTGAATTTCGCCTTTGTTTAACCCTAACGAATTTAAACCAGGGTCTAGGGTCAAAATAAATGTCGTTTTCGTCATCAGCACCCTCAAAAACATCAGAAACAATGCAAAAACTCGAATAAAAAGAATGTTCCGAAAATACCCCACTGGGATTTGAACCCGGGTCCGAACTTCTCCGATTCGTTCGAAAGTGGCACCATTGGTTTTTTCTCGTCGCACCGATTCCAAAAATACCCCTACATGCCCTGCTAGCTGCATCCGTTGCCGAGATCCTCCTCGACCCCATGTAGACCATGATGCACCTGCAGCAGCGCCCCCGGGGCTCGGATCGGATTTGCTGCCACCGGGCGGTTCTTAGGGTCACCCAAGGAGGCTGCATACCAAATTTGGTCAAGATCGGACCACGGGAAGTCCTCGGACGAACGAACGAACGGACGAACGAACGAACGAACGGACGCACAGCATGCATCATACTATATGCCCGTCCCTCCGTCATTTTTTACAAAAAATAAACGGGACGGGCCAAAAAATAAACGGGACGGGCCAAAAAATAAACGGGACGGGCCAAAAACAGTTCTCGTCGGCGCTGCAATACTTAACTCTACCCAACGGTCACACTTCTGTTAACTGGGCTGATTTGGCGGACCGTTGCTTCGGCGATGGGAGCACCGCCGTTTGATCGTGATTCCTGTTAAACCACTTTCTAGCTTAAGTAGGCGTCTTATTTGCAAATCGTGTACGCGCACTTCTAATGTTGACTCTTCGGGAAAACAAACTCGTTTTCAGGATTCGATACCCACAGGAGGAGTCATTGACGCACGGTAAAACCGGAATCTTGTTTTCCCAGGAACCCAATGGTGAAGGCGTAGGCGATTTCCAGGAAGTGCCTGGTAAAACTGGGAACCGTTTTTACCGTGCGTGATTGTAACTTGTTTTATTTGGCTCTTCCGCGTTTCGGGGTGGCAATGCAGGCCTGAGCACGCCGAAAAAAGTGTGAACATAAGTTTTAAAAATATGGACAATTTCTTTTAGCCCCTGGATCTTATTTTCTGATCATCATCCTTAACCTTGAAGTGCGCGCTCAGGTTTTGATGATTAAACGTGCGTCTACTTTGGCTGAAAAGTGGTTTCCCAGCTAACGCCAGAACAACGAAAACGCTGAAACGGCCGTGCATGCATCGCCGAAGCCACGGCTCAGTAAACCAGCCCCGTTCCCACCCCCTGCTTGCTTCTGACCACTCGACCACTCTAGAGGCGAGGCTTACTTGTCTGATCAACCACTCAACACAAGTTTCCCGTTTCTTCTTCTTTATTTTGGCGGGGAGTTGGGGGGGGGGGGGTGAAAGGGGTGGGTTTAAACAGAGGGATTGAAATCGTTTATCCCTCACCGCTTTGTAAAAATTTAACTTTAAGACACCTTTGTTGACTGTTACTTTGCCCTCATTTTGGCCCAATTTTTCCCAATGGGGTGTGTCATTCTTTTCCTTTTGGGGAGTCTTAAGAACCCCCCTTGAACGCCTCTGTGCAATTTGCCTCTGTGCAAATTTGAACAGTGTTAGTAAACCAAGCAGGACGTCATTGTGATGTAGGAGAGAGCGACACGCCAATATTGCAGCACAGAGCAGGTAAGTTGGTGGTTAGGATCCGTAAAACAATTCACTGTAGGGTCAGGGCGGGGAAGAACTGGACGTTTTGCAATCTTTCTCGATTTTGACTCTAATTGACTATCTTTAGCCAATGTATCGGTTGGGTCTATTGATCGAGCCTCAAAGAAAGACATTTCAACCCTCAGCGAGTGCGTTTGCGGCTTCATTCAGTAATAAATGAGAAAAAACAGTGTGCGATTCTTCCCCGTCGAAACGGGGAAAAATCGAACACCTAAGGGGAAAAATCGAACATAGGCTTTAATTTAACAAAAACCCATGAAAGTAGGTCAGAAATCTCTTGGGAACGATATTTGGGGGTAACACTTGCGATACCCACTGAAGCAGGCGCACGAGTACTCCTAGGTAGACAGAAATCATCGTAGCATTGTTGGGGGGTCCGTGGCGGCACGTTTTTGAGGTTAAATGACCAAAATGTATGAAATCGTCAACAGCCGTGTTTATTTTCCCACTAAATGTTGGGAAATGCTAAAATACACTTGTTACGACCACTTTGGTGGGATGTTAGGGCAATTCGTCGATTATTATAGAAAAAAGAGGTGTTCGATTTTTCCCCGCACCAGTGTACGGTTTTTCCCCGTTTCGTATTTAACCCTTCATATGTAATCCAGCTGAAAATCTGCTAAAACATTTGAACGTATCTTGGGCTCCACACTTCCAACTTTCGTTTACAATTAGAATATTCGTCTCAGTAGGCTCGGAAAGTCGTTCAAAAGAGATATTGCGGGCACCAACTTTGAAAGTTTTTAAGGTGTTTTAAACGAGACCTCGTTTAAAGGTGACTTTGAATACTTTCCGGTTCAAGTAGGCTAAATTCCTCTTGAACGCAATCTAGCAGATCATCAATAAGCAATACTGAATACTTTGCACGTCCCAAATCAGGCAAATTTGTGGCGAAAGTGCGGTGTGCGTTTCTTCCCCAACTTGCAGGTGTCCGGTTTTTCCCCGCCCTGACCCTAAACGAAAATCAACCGAAACGATCTTTATTAAAAGAAAACAAACTGAAACGATCTTGAATAGTAGAAAATAAACTCAAACGATCTCTAATAATAAGAGCCAGGTAAATCAATGAGCAGCTCGAGGAGGCCTAGGAGACTAGGACGCAGGCGTGAAGTCCTTGGCGTCGCAGCGTCGGCAGAGCACCCTGGCCTGCTTGGGCAGTGCGGTGCGCACGGTCGCTCGCTGGGCGCGGCAGCGCGCCGCCACGTGCAAGCAGTTCTCGCGCTGCAGCACCACCAGCTCCACGGCGCGGAGCTCGCACTGCGTCAGCAGCGCACTCAGGTCGGCGCCAGAGTAGGGGATGCTGTAACGAGGAATCTCCGTGAGGGCACTGTCAACAACAATCGTCTAGCCCCTGAGAGTGAAGAGAACTGCGAACCACGCACATGGGCCAAAACCCAGCGCAGGCGGTCATACCAAAGTCCCGGATGCATTTTCAGCTTCAGGTTTGCTAAATGAAACACGAACCAAACGTGTGGCCCCACCAATATCCTCTGAACGAGAAATCCATTGGTCCACACGCTGAGTTCGAGTTCTGTTCAGCGACTCGAGCTAAAACGCGTCTAGAGTGCCGGTGCTGGTCTTCTGGCCGACTCTGCCGTGTCCAATAGAATTGAATGCGTAATTTCTCGTAGTCCCAAAAAGAGTACCTCACAAACATTTTTTCAAAAGGGTAGGTTATTTTTTTATGTCTCGAATTTGTGTGGATATACTTTTGCAAGTACTTTCAGAAGTGCGTACCCTTAACCTTTAGCGAACATTGTCTTATGTTACGTTATGAAAGAAGTGTTAGTTAAATGTTAAGTTAAGGATCCCTGAATTAATATTGAATTGCGGTAGTATATTTATCACTTTATCCATGAGACAAGGGGTAATGGACTCGCAACGGAGCTGGCCGGAATCTCTGCCTTGCGAATTGTAGTCCATACTATTTCTCCGACTAAATATGCGATTTTTTAGATGGCTCGGGCATTTTTGGAAAGAAGATACCTTAAAGTATGCCCAAAATTCAAAAGAGTTTCAATTTTCCCACCAGGGCTTGAACAGGAACAGCTTCACCGTTGCGCTTCTCAAATGCGCAGGGCGACGGCCATGGTGCCAGGGGCGACGCAGAGGGGACGCATCTTCAACTTGCGAAATAAGCTCCTGGATGCCGCAATAGTGACCGGACATAATTTGTCTTCGACACGCTTATAATCTTACGTTGGTTTTCGTCCGTAATACGATGATTTTCCATCGTAAGGTACGACAAATTTCCAACCTGCATAATACGCACGAATGTCACCGTAAGGTACGCTGGATTTTCAACGAAATACGCATGTTTTCAACGTATTACGCACGATTATTACGTGCGTAATACGTTAGACCGTCCCTTATTTTTTCAAATTGAACCGAGACAAAAGTTCGTGGTGCCAAATTGTTCCATTTGTTAAGAAAACACCTCTGCCAAAGTTTGGTGGTGCTACGATATCGCATGGCCGAGCCTGAGGGGCCTAAGTGCAAATTTCAAAAATCGTTCGATTTCGGAATTTTGAAAGTAGTCTTCCCAGTAAACACGTCATTTTGATGCCCGTAGGGCGAAAATTCCACGCGTTTTGCCGTATCTCGAACCGTTATGGCCGAAACGGCGCTCTGAACGCGCTCCGCCACCGCGCGGAAGGCCGATCTGGACCCAACTACGATGCTTTTGGGCTGCCCCGAGCCGCCCCGGAGGGCAGTAGATCGCTGCGTCGCTGTCAGCACCTTCCCTAAACATGTATCTGCATTATCTCTGAAAATTCCAATGTGGTTAGTGGGATACTCAATAGGAAAATGCTGAAATATGCCCTCGAAGTGTCGAATTTAGCCATTTTAGCATTTTTCGCGTGTTTTGCTGTAAAATTTGGTCTTTACCACGTCTGTATCGAAATCTAACCTACCAATTACTATGCAATTAGTCAACCACATGTTTTGGGAAGGTGCTGACAGCGATGCAGCGATCCATTGCCCTCCGGGGCGGCTCGGTGCAGCCCAAAAGCATCGTAGTTGGGTCCAGATCGGCCTTCCGCGCGGTGGCGGAGCGCGTTCAGATCGCTGTTTCGGCCATAACGGTTCGAGATACGGCAAAACGCTTGAAATTTTCGCCCTACGGGCATCAAAATGACGTGTTTACTTGGAAGACACCTTTCAAATTCCAAAATAAGACGATTTTCAAAATTTGCACTTAGGCCCCTCAGGCTCGGCCATGCGATATCGTAGCACTACCAAACTTTGGCAGAGGTGTTTTCTCACCAAATGGAACAATTTGGCACCACGAACTTTTGTCTCGGTTCAATTTGAAAAAATAAGGGACGGTCTAGTAATACGTTGAAAACATGCGTATTTCGTTGAAAATCCTGCGTACCTTACGGTGACATTCGTGCGTATTATGCAGGTTGGAAATTTGTCGTACCTTACGATGGAAAATCATCGTATTACGCACGAAAACCAACGTAAGATTATAAGCGTGTCGAAGACAAACTATGTCCGGTCACTATTGCGGCATCCGGAAGCTTATTTCGCAAGTTGAAGATGCGTCCCCCCTGCGTCGCCCCTGGCACCATGGCCGGCGCCCTGCGCATTTGAGAAGCGCAACGGTGAAGCTGTTCCTGTTCAAGCCCTGGTGGGAAAATTGAAACTCTTTTGAATTTTGGGCATACTTTAAGGTATCTTCTTTCCAAAAATGCCCGAGCCATCTAAAGAATCGCATATTTAGTCGGAGAAATAGTAGACTACAATTCGCAAGGCAGAGATTCCGGCCAGCTCCGTTGCGAGTCCATTACCCCTTGTCTCATGCTTTATCACTCCAGACGTGTGAGAATCAGGGCCCAGACCAGCAAAAACAAAAGATACTAATTGAATTTTTAACGTGATAATTTTTAATGCTGCAACCTTAAATAACGCTGATGAGCATGAAAAAGTCTTCTTACTCGTTTTAAAACAAAGAGTTCGTAGCTAACTCTTTAACCGACTTTCAGTTTAAAACCAACTTTAATCGTTGGTAATCAACCAGGTCAACCTTGGAAGTGAGTGACTTTGTGGTTTGCCAGAAATCTAGTAAGCCTGGTATTTCCTCGGCAGTCAAAATCGACGCTCATAAAAATGGCTACAAGTTAGCAAACATCTAGTAGGCGAAAACCTAAAGTCTTCAGTAAAACAGTCCCAACATTTGAAAACAACAAACCAATTTCAATTTTACTGCCAAACTTCAATATTATTGTTAGGAGTGCATGAGCAGTTACCTGTCCCTGCCGCCGGTGCCCACGCCCAGCCACAGCTCGCGCAGCGTGAGGCGGTGTGTGCGGATCAGGGCGAACAGAGCGGGTCGCGGCAGGCAGGACGCCTCGAGCCTCACCACCCCGGACTGGCAGGGCATCTCCACTGCGTCCTTGCGGCAAGCCAGGCTCTGGGTGCCCGACACGCTGAGGCGGCGCAGCGAGGGCAGCGCGCCGTGGACGGCTTCCAGGTGCTCCCACTGCACGTACCTGCAGATGAAAACAATCCAATGGTAACGCATTGGGGAACGGGAACGGGTCCGAATCGCGCCGTAAGGAAGGGTGAGGCAGCTCGTAATAAGGGACATTTCGTTCAAAAGTAGAATATTTATCCAATGGGGTCTTCTGGAGGACGTTTCAGTGAGACCTGTCTGACCGGCTCAGTTAAACGAACTACCCGACCGTTCCTTAACGACGCCCCCCCCCCCCCCGGTCTATAGTTGTAGGAAGCTTTCAACGGCCCATGGGCCAGTGACCAACATGAGTACTTTTTAAAGGGTGTAGATGCATACCGCACGTCGAGCTCCTTCAGGTGCTGCCGTGGCACGCGCCTCAAGATTTCCAGGCTCCACGCAGGGTCTTCATCACAGTGCAGTCGTGTCAAGGAGCGGATCTGCATGCAGGTAAATACTATTAGCCGGGCTAAAAAAATGTTATTTTTCGGCCGCTATTTAAGAGCTTTTCGGCAGGTACATATGAGAAGGGATCCTTAACTTACCTCATAAGGGCATCATAAAGTTATGATATGAGTTAAAGTTATTACCCCTAACTTCTAACATCTTTTCAAAAGGGTAGGTTGTTTTTTTATGTCTCGAATGTGTGTGGATATACTTTAGCAAGTACTTTCAGAAGTCCGTACCCTTAACCTTTAGCGAACATTGTCTTATGTTACGTTATAAAAGAAGTGTTAGTGAAATGTTAAGTTAAGGATCCCTGCATATGAGCCGTGTGAGCTTCAAAGCTGAATATAGGCACGCGCTGTATCAACACTGAGAAACCAAACGTGCTCTAGACAACAACACTGTTATGGTCAAATGGGTGCCATTTTGGCATCAGTTGTGGTCTAGGCAACGTTTGGTGTGGTTTTTCCATGCAATGACCGAACCAAACGTGGTCTAGACCGCCGTCTTGGCAGGAACATGTATTTCTGCAGAAAAACTTTTGAGGGCACTTAGTCCTTGGAAATTACTGAAGAGGCGGCATTGTCGGGATTTCGCGATTTGCAGTTAGCAGTGAATTGGTCTAACTTCCAGGAGGCGGTACTTACGGTCTGGTTGGAAATGGCCTCCAACACGTCCTGCTTGGCCTGCACGTTGAAGCCCGCGGGGGAGACGCTCAGGTCGTACAGATCGACGTGCCCACCTTCGACTCCAGCGGATGCTTCGCCTGGAAACAGAAATCAGTGCACTTAACTCTCACTCGTTTCCGAACTCGACGGAGACGCCTTCAATGGCCGAGCACGAAGTTTGGGTCACCAGTCACCAAAACTAAACGGACGGTCATTTTAGCAGATGTTCTATTCTGATCAAAGTGCCATTGTACACACTTAATGTCATGGGACTTTTTTTGTCCCACGGTTTACGCAATTTTAAGCACATCCGGTAGTGATGCAATTTTTTGTCCGCCAGGCGGGACAAATTGTCTAGTGAAAGTACAAGTTGCAGCTGGCGCCGGACAAAACCCTTATAAAAATTATTTGCTCCGAGATCTGTCCGAGCGGGGTTCCAGCCCGAAAGGGGTCCGTCGGGCTAGTCCGACGAAGCTCCAGAATGTTCCCAAATCGGCAACTTTACGGATGTGTCCGAAAACCGAAATGCGGGCTGGTTTCGGACTGTCCGAGTCTCGGTTCCGAAAAAAATCCGACGGCGGTAAGCCAGAGGCAAGCCGTATTCGAACCCTCGCTTCCTACCTTCCTCTCTTTCTTTGCACACCAGTGCTGACGTCGGAGCCAACTGAGCTAACCCGACAGATGAGGACTGGGGGCTCCGGTGAGCCTCTTCACCGACTCTGCGCTGCGCTCTCCGCTCCGCTCCTTCCTCTGGGCGCTAGGAGGCGCGATTTTCAAGATAGAAGAGTGGGGATTTCTCAGGGGGACCTTGAATTTAAAATATTTTACGTCAAACACATTTTCTTATGCATACCTGTATTTAAAGTTTCATGTTTCTCCGGTTGTACGAAACAATTTAAATTAATTGAATGAATGCATTCTTGCAATTTTAACCACGTTTTGTGGTATTTGTTTCGGCACATACTCAGTAACGACAAAAAATTGCTGTATTTCCAATAAATTTTTTATTCTAAATTTCCTTACGAAAGGCGAATGTTTGAGATTGAACATTGCGGAATCACTTGGGCATACCTCAACTGTAGCTCCGCTAGAGGAATATTTGTCTAAGTCCCAAAGCGAGGGGGAAACGGTACAGAGTTCCGAAAACAGTCCGGAGGGGAGACTTTCCTCGGACGTATTCCGGGTAAGTCCGCTGCCCCGGACTCCCGGCGGACCGACCCGGACTTTCCAGCGAGTCCCGGACACATATCGGTCTGGCCCGTCCGAACAGCGGCCCCTTCGCGGACTAACCACGGAATCGTCCGAGGGCATTCGGACGCTTCTGGGGACAGCCCGAGGCGGCGGGGGCTCTTTCGGACGGCTGGCGGCAAGATTTCGGAACAATTCGTTTTTACACGGGAATGTGTCACCAGACGGGAACAAAATTGTATCAGCGTCGGATGTGCTTAAAATTGCATAAACCGTGGGACAAAAAAAGTCCCATGACATTTAGTGTGTAGTTACGGTATTCCATCGGGTCATCAAAAATGACCCCTTCGCCCCATGGAGTGGAGAGGTACGCTCCCTTTTCTCTAAATCAACAGTTTGTATTATACTCGTATAAATACTCGTACTTGGATTCGCACAGCAAAATTTTAAAAGGTTCATCTTACACACGGCGGTGGAAACAACCCTTAACATTCACCACACTTCTAAGAAAACGGAGGCGTTGCTGTTTGAAGAATCAAGCTCAAGGTTAAGCTTGAAATAACGCATGACCATGTTCTCCAAGCATTTAGTGGGAATCTGATCCGATGAGCCCATTACCCTTGGTTTGAAGCGTTAACTGCGGCGCTTCAAACCGGGATAAAGCTGCAGTTTCACAACGGTCTCATACACTTACCTGCAGTAGAGGAGCTCGACTGCATCGCAGCGGCCAACGCTTGCAGGTCTGGCTTCACTTCAAGAGCGAACTCGTCTAAGGACGACCAGCAGGAGCCGTTTTCAGAACCTGGCAAAAGAACGATAGACGTTGAACGAAGTGAACTGAAAACGCTATGCTTCTTCCCCGGGGAAGAACGATAAGCATTGAACGAAATCAACTAAAAATGCTGTTTGTTCCCGAGGCGATGGTGGTTCTATCGAGTAAGATGTTACGAGAAAATTAAGGCGCTTGTTTAGAACGACTCTATAATTTGTCTGAAAGTCTGATGCTCTTCCATGCAACCCTCTGCTTTGAGTGATTTTGAAAGCGATATTTGTGGATTTGTCACGGTTACACAAGAGAAATATACAAGGCGCAGGGCAGGCGCGGATACCGGGGTGGGGGTGGGGATGGGGTTTTTGCCCCCCCCCCCATAGCCCTAGATAGCCGCCTGACAGGTAGGCAAAAAGTGATTCTTTGACCCAGTATGTAGGCAAAGAGAGTTACTCCCCCCCCCCTCTGGGCTGCCTCTAGATCCGCCACTGGCGCAGGACGGAGAGGTACGCCAGTGGACGGGCTATCGATTGGACTATCCTCTTCTTGAAATCTGTCCCAAACAAACCTGTCATATTGCTGCTGTGCGAAAGTCTTGAAGAAGGCCCCTCTTCAGTGGACGTCGCAGGGTCTCCAATTCCGCGTTCCTCCTAAAAAAAATTACGTTGTGTAAGCCGAACGGCGGCACACGGCAAAATTGGTCCCACAATAGACCTGGCGCCACACCTGGCGCGTTACCCCTCATATCGGTGTCTTACCAATGATGAATATTGGCAGACTGCACTCCAAATTCACTACTGAGAAATGGCGTGGAGTCATGATACTGAGCTAATTCTCAGTACTCTACGACACAAATGTATCGTATTACAATTCTTTCGAATTGTGACGAAACTGATCATAAGTTGCTGAGAACCCCTCATCAAAGGATACTATATTCACTGAGCTGTAATAATACCAAGCTTTTTGTTCGTAAGACGAAGAAAGGGCTCATTAAGATCTTGGCAGTGTGGACCTGGATTCAGTCCTGACGTGTGAGATGAAAATCGTGGGTGATACACGAATATTAGGGGAAACGAGTTGGAAGGACAGAGACCGAACACGAAGATCTACTGCAAGGACACCGCAAAACCCGTCAACAGCGCACCGTAAATGCGCGTAATGTGGACCACCCCTAAAATTCTTCTTTATGATCGGTTCGAGCCGAGGTACTTACAAATTCGGATGCTAATGGCCGAAACGGCTCTCGATACCACAGCTAGGCGGCATTACAGCTCACAGAGAAGAGTTTTAGGCGTGGCCCACATTACCCAATGCTGTTCCATATTACCCGCTTTCAGGGAATCAAGTAGCGCATCGTTGGCCTGTCTGAAAAATGCTTCTTCGTGTCTCCTAGACAAGAAGAGCCTTCCCTATACGTTCTCGGGGATAGTTACTTCATCATGGATGGACGTGGCCAGCGTAACTCGCATGAAAAAAAATTTAGACGGTTAACCAAAAACAAGTGACACATTCACGCCCTAGCGAACGCGTCACGTTCCTGGAATGCGAGTGTTATCAGGAACTGGAGGGGCGTGGCCTGGAAGGCGGGCTCCTAATCGCGACTAAAGATTCAAAGACCTGTCTTGTTTGCTCAGTTCGTGGCTGTCGTGTCGCGTGCTCTCGACGTGACTTCGATTGTTTGCCCTGCCACAAAACACGGGGTGAAGGCTCTACACTAACAAACGTGAGCCTCTAAAGTGGCCATCACTGGGAAAACTGTGTGGTTATTTATGTTACATTTGCTCAAGGAATGAATTAATTTTCTAGGTTTTTCAATCTTGAAAACCTTTACTCCCATCCGTCTTACATGTTCCTGAAAATTTCCATACCTGTTCAACGCACGAGACACATAGTAAAGGGGTTACAGGCGGAGCTGCACTACAAACCTAACTGTCTACTAAGTACACACTTACAAATGCATGCTTGCAAGTACACACTTACAAACGCATGCTTGGCCAAGTACACACTTACAAATGCATGCTTGCAAGTAAACACTTACAAACGCATGCTTAACGCATGCTATTATACGGCGTCAAGCATGCGTTTGTAAGTGTTTACTTGCAAGCATGCATTTGTAAGTGTGTACTTGGCCAAGCATGCGTTTGTAAGTGTGTACTTGCAAGCATGCATTTGTAAGTGTGTACTTAGTAGACAGTTAGGTTTGTAGTGTAAGATTGGTCATCCCGCTGACAAAAAAAATTAAGCCCAGTTCTACATATGATGTATAGAATCAAACTGCACGGTTGAAAAAAAACACTAAATATGATTACAAAAATCTTTTTTTGAACAGTTTGAACTTTGAAGTACAGCTTCCTGCAGAATCAGCCGACAGTGCAATGTATGGTACCACAGAAGCTTATGTATGGTACACAAAAGCTTAGACCATCATCTTTGAAAAACAGTGCCGGTCGGTGCTCTCAGGCTTCAACACAAATTTTTATGAGTATAAAAATGAAAAGGGTAAGAAAAGTACAGTCCACCGGGGAAGTAAAGTACAGGCATAGGGGAAGAAAAGAACACCCTGTAAAAAACTTAAAGCGGGATGAATATGGAATTGATCACGGAAATAGATTTGATTAGGCGAGACAAGCAAAAAATGTCAACACATGTTTTAGAATTAGACTAAAAATAAACAAGTTATAGGGCATTTACGTCAAAAGGGGAAGAAAAGAACAAAAGAGCTGTACCCACTTATCGCTGATAAAAGGCTTCTAGGACCTCCTTTAGTGAGTCCATGTAGAATCAGAATCAACTGACCGATTTTGACAAAACTTGTAATGGCAAGTGGAAACTGTCCACTTTAGGGGTCAACGTGTATTGAGCCAAGATTGGCGGTCTTCTGGTTCGAAATCGCATTTCTTTTCGTTGTAAGCTTACTTTTCGTTCACGGTGGTGTACTTTTCTTACCCTTTTCGACAAGTACTGAAATCACATATATTTTGGCAATTTGTACGTAATGTGGGGAACTACAATCAATGAACAGTGATCCATTTCATCAGGAAGGGACTTGATTATAAGTTCACGAGAGCAGAAAAGTTAAATCCTCATTTGGAACTTCTGCACAGTGCAGAGTACGCGTTTTGTACTTCCCTTCCCAAACCTACCCCTATCACCGAAAATCGGTCAGTTGTCTCACCCTTCGAATTTCAGTGAATATTTAAATCGAAATCACCTACCATTGGCTTGAGATGCCCACTGGCGATCACAGCGAAGGCCAGCGTCCTTGCTACCGTGTCCTCGGAGGCGTGCCCCGAGGCGGCAAGCCCCTCTGCGAGGCTCAGGGTCGCGGCGAACGTCGCTCCCGATGTGCGCAGCGTCAGCTCGCACTGCACGGGCTCCACCAGCAGCCGAAGGGCGTCCTCCGCCTTGAAGTGTGTCTGCAGCAGCTCCTCCACGCGCCCACACGCCGCCTGCAGGTGCTGGGCGGCTCCGTCGGCCAGCTCCTGGGCACACACGCTTAACACCTTACGAAGAAGTTTAAGCATACACAATACAATTTAATTTACTTATAATTAGTAATAATAATAATAACTACACTGAGAAAACCTTACAAACTAATTTGGGCCTTACAAAGAAAAGTAGTTTGTATAACAAAGTATTTTGAGCATACATAAGCTTACAAAGAAAATACTTCGCAATTTGCGAATTATTTCTTCGTATTACGAAGTATTTTAGTTTGTTACACGTATGCTCAAAATACTTCGTACGGTTTTAAGAGTGTAATAATAGTAGTAATAATAATAAATAGTTCGTAAAGTACGAACTTTTTTCTTTGTAAGCTCAAAATTCTTTGTTATAACAAACTGCTTTTCTTTGTAAGGTTTTCTCAGTACAGGGACAGGCGCACTGCACTGGAATTCCAACTTTCGGCGACAACGCAGCCAATACAACCAGACGCATCACCGGAAAAAGGAAGATACAACTACATATCACCGAAATAAAGGTCGGAGATCAGCGAGGCTGGCCGTTTTCCTGGGCGAAACAGCACTCTTAACCGGAGAGACACACAAGTATCACCCTATTTACCGCGATACATCTTAGTATCTCCATTTTTCCTGCGATACACTGTTAAAAAAGTGCTGTAAATTAACAGCACTTATGCTGTTAAGTTTGATAGCAGCACGACTTGTTTTATTACGAGCATGTTGTAACCTTCGTTGCTGTTTTCTGACAGTCCGATTGTTATAAAACAATACTTCTTTGGAGTCTTCGATGAAGTCTTTGCTACATTTGTGTTGATCTCATCGTGCTGTTATTAAACAAGACCCTTGTATCCTGACAACAATGTATGTTTTAAGATTGCAAAAGGCTGTTTCTAAACATGAAACCTGTTCAACGACAACACAACTATTTTGAATGACGATTACGTTGTTCTTACTTGACAAGGAAATTGTTATGAAACGAAAATGCTGTTTCTGGATGGGTTTCCCGATCAGGCACAAAACAATACTGTTGTTATTTAATAGCATTACTGTAGGTGATTGTGTTGTTAGAGTGGATTTTTAACAGTGTACGTCGAAGTATTACCCACTATCGGTCAGACAGTTATGTCTGATCCCTCTGAGGGTGAGATGAACCACTATTTGATTTACAGTGTGCCGTAAACTGGGGTAACATGAAACAATTTTCGGAAAACTTGAGAGGGATGCTTTGAACCCCCAGTGAGGTCACTACGAAGACAAGACGAGAGGTTCCCCATGCATAAAGCAAGATGGGAGAAATCCGGGCGGATGCGAGCCTGTTACGCAGAACAGAGCACTTAGGGGGTAGGGAAAAGTCAGACGTCCGATGTTTCACTGAATTTTCTGGAATTGCTACTGATAATGAGTAAGGGTTCGTGTAGGGTAGTGATAAGTAGTAGGGAGAATCCCCATGACCCAAAGTAACCTGATATGTAGTTGAATCTAAATTGGGGATGTGCGATTTTCTACCGCTCCTGCAGTGTTTGTTTCTTCCCCGCACTGACCCTACATTTGAGCACAGCAGAGGGTAATGCTACCGTAGAACGGGGTAGGGTCAAGGCGGGGAAAAACCGGACACCTGCAAGTTGGGGAAGAAACGCACACCGCACTTTCGCCACAGATTTACCTGTTTTGGGACGTGCAAAGTATTCAGTATTGCTTATTGATGATCTGCTAGATTGCGTTTAAGAGGAATTTAGCCTACTTGAACCGGAAAGTATTCAAAGTCACCTTTAAACGAGGTCTCGTTTAGAACACCTTAAAAACTTTCAAAGTTGGTGCCCGCAATATCTCTTTTCAACGACTTTCCGAGCCTACTGTAACGAATATTCTTATTGTAAACGAAAGTTGGAAGTGTGGAGCCCAAGATACGTTCAAATGTTTTAGCAGATTTCCAGCTGGATTACATATGAAGGGTTAAATACGAAACGGGGAAAAACCGTACACTGGTGCGGGGAAAAATCGAACACCTCTTTTTTCTATAATAATCGATGAATTGCCCTAACATCCCGCCAAAGTGGTCGTAACAAGTGTATTTTAGCATTTCCCAACATTTAGTGGGAAAACAAACACGGCTGTTGACGATTTCATACATTTTGGTCATTTAACCTCAAAAACGTGCCGCCACGGACCCCCTAACAATGCTACGATGATTTCTGTCTACCTAGGAATACTCGTGCGCCTGCTTCTGTGGGTATCGCAACTGTTACCCCCAAATATCGTTTCCAAGAGATTTCTGACCTACTTTCATAGGTTTTTGTTAAATTAAAGCCTATGTCCGATTTTTCCCCTTAGGTGTTCGATTTTTCCCCGTTTCGACGGGGAAGAATCGCACACTGTTTTTTCTCATTTATTACTGAATGAAGCCGCAAACGCACTCGCTGAGGGTTGAAATGTCTTTCTTTGAGGCTCGATCAACAGACCCAACGGATACATAGGCTAAAGATAGTCAATTAGAGTCAAAATCGAGAAAGATTGCAAAACGTCCAGTTCTTCCCCGCCCTGACCCTAATATGAGACATGAAGGAAAATCGAGACATAGCGCATATTTTTCGGCTATTGTCGTGTTGCTCTCTAACGGTCGTTCGGAAGACCACCGTCAATTTTTTTTCGTGACCTAGGAGGCCTTGACAGCTTACAGGAAACGCACGAAGGCAATCAGAGACTCGCCAGGATTATTAAGAACCAAACGAAAATCCTCTAAATTCTGACAAGTTTCATAAAGCTAGTAAAAACCTCCCCAGGAACCTCAGTTAGGAGCGAGGGGGTAGCAACTCCCAAAAATCGCGGCCCGACTATTACGTTTTGAGACTATTACGCGTAATAGATGGGATATTACGTATATTACGCGGCTATTACGTTCTATTACGGACTATTGTGCTACGCGGTTATTACGCTTTGAAAAACAGCGCCAAATCTTTCACGTTGCTTCCGCTTCCTGCAACATACTCGTGTTATGAAAAATTCCGCTGCACATTTGCAGTGCACAGTTTTTCTTTTCTTTTTTGGTTATTTTTGAAGGTTGTTCGAAGTTATTTACTAGAACTAGGTCCAAATCAGGTGAATTTTCAAAGTGGTCCAAATCAAGATCTTCTTTCAGAAATGGATTCGTCTCGTCAAGACAAACAAAAAATGTCAACACATCTCATAGGTTTGGATGGGAATGACAACGTTATTGAGCTTCAAAAGTACCAAGAAGGTCATTTCTTGACCATCTATGCAAGTTTGTAGGTGAATAGCCTTTTTATGTTCCATCCAAACCTATGACATACGTTGACATTTTTTTGTCTTGTCGAGACAAATCCATTTCTGTAAGAAGATCTTGATTTGGACCAATTGGAAAATTCACTCAAACCGCTGAGAAATATTACAAGATTGGATTTCAAGGCGGCACTTGTAACGTCAAGTTGAAAAGATCTCGGGTTAAATTCATTTCCAAAAAGTTTTAGTAAATTTTCAAAATCGTCTAAACTGACTTTGATGTCATGAAACGACTGCACTGTACAAATTAAGGTGATCGCCGTCCTTCCAGGTACAGTAAACGCTGTACCTCTAGGTACAGTAAACACCGTGCTTCTAAGTACAGCAAATCCTGTTAATAAATTAACGGAGAATACCCTACATTTTTCGCACAGTGTACCCCCTCCACCCGACTCTGGGGGAATGCCGACAACCGTGCGTGGAGTATAGCCAACGCCATCAGGAGCTGTCAATACTCCCTGACAGGGGCATTTCTGACCTATTACGCGGTTATTACGCAGCTATTACGATAATATTACGTGTATTACGTTATTATTACCGATATTACGCGACTATTTCGGTTATTACGCCGTCATTACGGCTATTACGTTGTTATTACAGAGCAGGTGACCCGACTATTACGCGAGTTGCTACCCCCTCGGTTAGGAGTCGGGTTCTCGTCCGAACAAGGTTTAAATCTGTAGGCAATCATGTCAACAAAATCAGGACAAAATTTGGTTCCATTATGTCTCTTCCCAGGCTGCCTGTTCCCGAAGGGATACAATTTTGTTACCTTGAAGCGAAAATAGATTTACCATTTTTCGCTTCATACATGAGGCCAAACATACTCCACTGTAAATAATTTCAAGTAAGGCGGCGTGCAAATATTACGTCACCTGTTTTAGGCCACTTTTTGACCCCCTCCCCCCCATCATCACTCAGCGTCATCCCTGACGCAACCCCCTCCCCTCCCCCTATGATGACGTAGTTTTCTTATTTTCTGAGTTCTCGCAAGCGAATCACACTGTAGGTGCAAAAACATTAGCAATATCTCAAAGTATGATACAAAAAGTCTTCATTTGTAAAGACTAGTAAGAAAAAATCAGTCATGGCACTAGAAACGAAGCAAAAAATGGTCAAAATTGAATCAGAATCAAAACTCGGCTTGGCCGGTCGGGTGGCCGCAGTGTCGTCTACGCGAAGCCGACGCCACGCGGCTCTAAGCAGAAAACTACGTCATCTCTGCTCAACCCCCCTCCCCTCCCCACATCATCTACCATCACTTTCCGTCAGACCCCCTCCCCCCCCTAAACGGGTGACGTAATATTTGCACGCCGCCTAATAACGATTTTAACACGAATTTGTTTTACTACCTGACCGGTCTCAATGTTCTTTGTTAAGAATTTTCCTGTGGCAGGCACAACTCATGACTTCTTATACATTTTTCAGCTCTCTTTACCGACACCGATTTTTCTTCCCTCCAGACTATCTCCTTCATTATAGTCCCCAATCATCTTTAAAATGAATGACAAGAACTACTAAAGCTCCAAACACGCCGAGCAAATTTTCCATACATCTATACCATTTTTCTCTTTTGTCTCATATTACCCCACATTGCAGGGAAATGTGGGACTGCATTCCGAGGTTTATTGAAAGGTACCTACTGCACCTAAAAATCTGAAATTTGGTGGGAGTGTAGCCAAAGGGTCAATGAACAAGTGATGAACACCTCAGCACCTCAAATCAGGGGGTGGCAACGGCCTAGGGAGAGCGTGAAGCGATGCTCGCGCCGTCTTTGCAGAGGTTGCGCACTTGTTCGAGATTATGAAAACTAGACTGTGTTTTTCAAAACGCTTTGCACCGATGGAAAGGGCTTGAAATTTAGGGTGCGTTAGGCTAATTGCTCATCTCGAAACTCCCCCCTTGCCTAATATTAAGGTGCAGTAAAAACACCGAAAAACACAAAAATCATACAATTGAGGAAAAAAATCGAATGCGCCATGTTGATGTAAATGATTCCGCCTTCGTGTTCGGTTGAATTGGAAGTACTTATCGGACAGTCTACTAGGTCTAATGCACCCCAAATTTTGTGCTCTTTTGATCTGTACAAAGCGTTTTGCAATCAACGGGCTAGATCTTACAATCGAAGCAAAATAAGTAACCCCTGCACCTCACTCGCGCATGGCTTCACGCGCTTCCTAGGCCGTTGCCGCCCCCTGCTCAAATTGAAATTGAAAGGGGGAAATTCACCAAAAAAAACTCGAAATTTGTCTCATATTACCTCGTTTTACGGAACCTTGGTTGGAACGAATAGCGCCACTTCATTCGAAAACAGTTGCTAATTTTTAACGATTTAGGAATTAGCCGAGTCCACCCAAGAGCGACACCGGATGGTGCTGCCGCTCTGTGGCATCTCTCAGAACCTTTCGACGGTTACTTGCAAACCAACCGATGCGGCGCTCTGGTTACACTGAGAATGAAAGAGTCACCACCATCGCCCTTTCATTGGGTAACGCACGCACCGTTGCCCAAATTTGGGTGACGAGCCCGCGGTGACCAAATTTTGGGCAGTCATAAAATCGTCGCCCAAATTTGGGTAACGCCGTCGGCGACGCCGTAAGGTCCCCGATGACGCTCTACGGGGCCACCACGATGACCCAATTTGGCGTTGAGGCCTCCGTTCATCGTGGTGGCCCCGGAAGGACGCCATCGGGAACCTCACGGCGTCGCCGACGGCGTTACCCAAATTTGGGCGACCAAACGCCTGTTACCCAATTTCTGGTGATGAATTTTTCGTCACCAAAATTTGGGCAACGAAGTTGCATCACCCATTTAAAGGGTGATGGTGGTGACCCATTCATTCTCAGTGATTGTAACGGTGAGATAGTAAATAAACGTCATCCCTACCTGCACTTGCTGGGCGTAGTGGCGCACGGCCCTGCGTAAGCCCCACAGCGTGTGGGCGTCTTCGCAGTCCGCTGAGGCAATGGCACGGCACTCCACGCACCACAAGGGACGAACGGATCTGGAAATGCCATTGAAGACAGGCTTTGGCTTTAAGGATACTGTAAAGTGAAATTTCCCATTGCAAATCGAAGCGTGGACAGGCATGAACTAGATAAACGTAGGACAGTGTGGGACACGTCATCTAGTGCGCACCTGTCCCACACTTGGATTTGCAATGCGATGTCCTGGAAACGTAGGAGGCAGGAGGGCAAAAACGGTACCTGGTTCTCCCAGGAAGCCTAGGGGATCCTTGGAGTGGCTGGAAACCAGGAACCGCTTTTGTCGTGATGAAGTTCAATATGTGGTTCACATTCAATTAGTATGGCATGGGATTATTCCTGATTTTGGAGGCCCCTAATGTTTTTAGTCTTTGAGTTCAGGAGTTTTTTGCCGTTCTTCCACAGATTTTCTTCTGACATAGAAAAAGGCAGGGGTCCTTAACTTAACTTAACATTTAACTAACACTTCTTTCATAACGTAACATAAGACAATGTTCGCTAAAGGTTAAGGGTACGGACTTCTGAAAGTACTTGCAAAAGTATATCCACACAAATTCGAGACATAAAAAAATAACCTACCCTTTTGAAAAGATGTTAGAAGTTAGGGGTAATAACTTTAACTCATATCATAACGTTATGATGCCCTTATGAGGTAAGTTAAGGATCCCTGGAAAAAGGTTCCTTATAATCAGGGTTTTAGATATTTGCGACTAACTAAATTTAGGGGGAGTTTAAGTAACATTTGTAATGTTTTCATATTTTTTCAGCCTTCTATTGGCCACCCTGACATGAAAATGGACATCACCATTGGATATTCTCCATGCCTTTTGCCCATTAAACCATCTTTGGTTACGGGTCTGGTGGCACTTTTTAAGTTTTCGCAAACTTTTTAGATTTGGTCTATATTTGGGTTTTAATCCTCGCACGTAGGATTTCAAATTCAAATGTTGTCCCGTTGCCACATCTGTTTATGGTCAAAATGAAGACAAAGCAGCCGGATTTCAAAGACATGTTTTCTTTCGGTTTTTATCTTGAAAACTAGAATCATGACTGTTTTCATGCCGCTTTTGGACATTTATTGACCTGTTAGTTATAACTAAAGATTGAGATATAGTATTGAGACGGTGCTGTGGGTCGGAATATGGAAAGCTTTGGTTGTACCAAGGCCCAAAGAGTCAAAAAAGCAAAAACCGAAAATCGATAATCGATTTTCTCCACATTACCCTGCGCGATCACGATCCTAAGTTTGTGAAAGATTTCGATCAGTGCGGTGTCGCAGACCGGAAGTTCGAGCAGACCGAACAGGCTGCAGTTCCTTCGATTGCGAACATGTTCGCACATCTCTAGGCAGAGTTCTCATTTTTTCCGCGACGGGGGACAGATAACGATAGATCTGTCTGGGCACGATCCACGTTAAAAAGAACATGACTAAGACGATCGTGACACTTCGTACATTCGTTGCTAACGTGACGGTGAACATGAACGCACCTGTCATTGGAGGCGTGCGCCGAGGACTCGCTGAGGGCAAAGCTGTCCATGAAACTGGTGGGCTTGTGCAGTAGTACCTGCAACAAATGGGAGACAAGGATAAATGATTGACACAATCACGATGTTTCTTTACTAACAAAAAGGTAAGGGAGGGTGGGGCACCTAGTGACACTTTTTGGATTTTGGCACTCACTTCGATACTGTGCGAGAAATGAATCTACTTACACCTCAGAAGGTTGCTTTGATCCTTCCTTGATCGAAATAACATGTTGTGGCGTTTTGACAAAACCTATTTCTATTATTTACATAGCTTCCCGCAGACCTCTGCACTTGTCACTTGGTGCCCCAGCCCGGGGCACCTAGTGACAGGACATATACCTCACATTACCAGCATAGAGCGACGCTCCAGCTAATTGAAAACTATCCGTTTTGGACTCTTTAAGCTTTTTAAATATCAAACCATTCTGAACGGCGCCATTTTCCCCAAGAAACTGCATTTTACTAAATTGCCAATCAAATTCAATGTTCTACCAAATTGTCGTTAAAAGTAGTCTCATTTATGTTTCGTTGTGTGACAATCGGTGACAATTTACTTCGCGGTTGCCAAATCGATGTTTTGAAACGTTTAAATCGTTGAAATACGGTAAATAGAGTATGTCTGTCACTACCTGCCCCGGGGGCTCATTTTCGTTCAAAATTTTATATTAAGGAAATGAAATCACATGTTTGAGCTGGTTCAGCGAAAACAACTTACTAAAGGTCCTTATTATTGATTAAAAGTGCCAGAACGATCGGCAGTGCCGTTTACTGGAAGAATGGCGAGAAAACATTTTGTTAAAAAGTCGTAAAATCTGTGATTTTGGGTTATTATTTTCTTGCTTTTATTCTAGGGGCTAAAATATTTTGTTCAAAGTATCACTTTCACTTGAACATGATTCCACAGCATAAGACCTTTAGATTAGCCACCTCGAGGTGTCTGAAAGTGCCATAGGGTGGCCAGGGCACCCCTGTGTCACTAGGTGCCCCTGTCACTAGGTGCCCCACCCTCCCTTATGCGGGAGGGTTTCGCTCAGTAATGTCATATCTTTGAGCGCCAACAACAGAGTCAAAATTGACTAGACAGAGCAGAGATATGCAAATATGCTTTGGAACTTGACTTCAGCACCAGGAGACTACTGTCCTCGCTCATCAAGAACGAGAAAATATTGGACTAAGGAATTAAAATTTTCTTAAATCAAATAATGGTGAATGGAGCGAGCAGTGAATAACTAAGAAGGAATTAAAATTTGGCAATTTGAAAAGCTTTATTGAACCAAACTGAGCTTGCAACAGAAAGGGACCGCCCATTAATTACGTCACGTACCGAGGGGGGGAGGGGGGATCTGCTTGGCGTACCGCTGCGGTACCTGAGGAGACGGGGGTCCGAGTCAACAAGTGCCCATAAGTTCTTAACGTAATTATGGACGGCTCCTTAGTCATTTGTAATACCCTTAAAGATGTAGCTGCCCCTCAGCACGAAAGTTTGGGACAGAATTCACTAACGCAATGACACGACTAATACGCAAGCGCATACTTCCTCACTGATGAGTGAAGCAACAGATTGTTGAGATATGCGTGGATGGGTAAGTAACTAACAGTAGTAGCAACCAATTAAAGAAACGTATCAAGCAACAAGGTAAAGATTAGCGCGATTCAAAACGGCAGAAGGGAGAACAGAGCAAATTCACTAGCGAAAGAACTTAACGAATATGAATTAAAGGAACGTCCACTGATAGTCTATTGTTGTCGTCGAGCGTCGAGCAAATGACAGGAAGGTCAACTCAACCGGAAATGGCGCCGGCAACTTAACCCCACTCACCCTTTCGAGAGCAATAATGTAAGAGTTTCCGAAGCGACACTTGTTGAACTACAATTTAAATACTCTTTGTCAAAGGGGTACTCCAATGAATCCTGAAAAGGAAGAAGAACAAAGGTAAGCTCTATAAACAGCTTCTGCACAGTCAGAAATTTTGTCGTAAATTAGCGACGAAAATGTCGCTAATTTTGATAGCGACGGAAATCGTTCTCAAACTATTTCGTCGTAACTGAACGACTAAAAAATCGTTTTTCTACGACAATGTCGTAATCGCGATTAAATATTTTGGAATCTGAAATCCCCGAAAAGTTGGTCAAAAGTTACAATTTTGCTCGTTTTTTTAGATTTGTGTCGTTTATTTACGATTCATGTCACAAATTTACGACAAGAGTCGTAAATGTATGACTGAAGTCATAACTGCACGACATATTCCATAAATCAATTCCGATCGTTCGTAAACTTACGATTAAGTCGTAAACTTAGGACTTAATTCGTTTCAAAACGGAACGTCTCGCTATCAAAATTAGAGACAGATATGTCGTAAATTTACGACTCGAGTCGTATATTTACGACTTCAGTCGTAACAAAATATGTCGTTTAAAAACGACACAATTGTTCTACAAAATGTCGTAAATTTACGATTATTGGCTGAGCGATAGCGAAGCCCGTTACTCCAGTGCGGTTGAAAAGTTTTGTCTGTCTGTCTGTCTGTGTGTGTGTCTGTGTGTGTGTACACTACTCCTCCTGAACGGTTCGCCGATCTGGCTGAGATTTTGCACGCTTATTAGGTATGTTCTTGGCTCGGCACACGCGAAATTTCACTATCCTAGCTCAACTGGTTCAGTTTTTATAGCCGAAAAACACCTAAAAAACGGCGAAAAATCGAGTTTTCTGCAGGTAGATCACCTCTGTCTTGAAGAAAGGGGGCCCCAGCCCCGACAAGTTAAAAAGTTACAAGGGATCTAGAATGCCCAGCATGCATCAAGTTAGAAGTAACCGACGATGGACAAGCCATTGCCTGCCGAAGGCAGGCTAGCGCCGCAGGCCAAGGTAGGTACGCCAGGCGCGGATTGGAGGAAGAGGCAGCGACACATCGCGAAGCCTGTTACGACAAGACGCGGTCTGGCGTAAACCTACCTTGTTTTTAACAGTGTGCGCATGCGCATCCCCTCACCGCCCGGTGCGCATGCGCAGATGCTCTCATTGTCTTGCTTTTGTTCTTTTTCTTCCGTTTCAAGATTCAATGGAGTATCCTATTGAGAGGAGGGAGGAGGGGAGGACTGCGTTACACTGCCACTGAAAATTGAAAGGTGTGACTTTTGACTCTGTAAAGGGTGATACTGGGTGATAAATATTTGATCACCAAAGGGTCATACTAATTTGTATGACGAAAAAGGACCAATTTCGATATGACCGAAAAACAGTCATACTTTTTATGTATTACTGATGAAGGTGGACAAATAGCCAAGCTTAAAAAGGGCCAGTCTCACTGATGTCTTTCCTTTCTTGGCAAAAAAATGGTCAGATGTCTCATTCTTTGCCTTTCAGTGGCGGAACACCGGACGGGAGGTAGAACTCATCGGAACATAACGCTTCTATTTTAAATTTGAGAGCACACCTTCCTCCGAAGTAGGCACGGGTGAAAATGGAGAGAAATGTTGCGAGACGTTAAGCAAACACAGTAGGAGGGGTCTGGGCCACACTCCAAATATCCCACAGAGCTTTTACTTCGTAACACGAACAAAAAGCTTAGTATTATGATTGCGCAGCGAAGTTAAAGTGGTCTATGATGAAGAGATTCTCAGTAACTTCTGACCATTTTCTTCGTACATATTACGAGCAAATATCTCTGTACTAGGGCAGATTTGTGTCGTAAAGTACTCAGAAAAAGCTATGAACTATGACTGCACGACATTTGTCAGTAGAAAGTTGGGAGTGCACACTGTTAAAAATAATCGTAAATTTACGACATTTTGTAGAACAATTGTGTCGTTTTTAAACGACATATTTTGTTACGACTGAAGTCGTAAATATACGACTCGAGTCGTAAATTTACGACATATCTGTCGCTAATTTTGATAGCGAGACGTTGCGTTTTGAAACGAATTAAGTCCTAAGTTTACGACTTAATCGTAAGTTTACGAACGATCGGAATTGATTTATGGAATATGTCGTGCAGTTATGACTTCAGTCATACATTTACGACTCTTGTCGTAAATTTGTGACATGAATCGTAAGTAAACGACACAAATCTAAAAAAACGAGCAAAATTGTAACTTTTGACCAACTTTTCGGGGATTTCAGATTCCAAAATATTTAATCGCGATTACGACATTGTCGTAGAAAAACGATTTTTCAGTCGTTCAGTTACGACGAAGTAGTTTGAGAACGATTTCCGTCGCTATCAAAATTAGCGACATTTTCGTCGCTAATTTACGACAAAATTTCTGACAGTGCAGCTTAACGCCGCGCAATAGGATACTCCAATGTATTTTGAAACGGAAGATGAAGAACAGAAGTAAGCTCTAAAAACAGCTTCTGCAGCGTTGTGCTGTGGTCGTCGGCAAGGCTGCAGAGCCGGTAAAAACGGGGAAGTCCTTAGACAGTGGACAGCCTCAAGAGCAACCTAGCTGAACGCCTGAAGCATGAAAAGCTCGCACCGCAAATCTCATGCTCCAGGCAGGCGTCAAGCTCAAGACAGAATGAACAACAGGTCTAATGTAAGTGTATCACAGTATCAAGTGTGAAACGAATTATGAGTCTAGAAACTGACTTGCATGCTACCAGAAAAACCTTTTATGTGGGGTGATGAACCACTGCGCACTTGTGCGATCGAACGCCACTACATCGTGGCGGGGAAGAAAAAGGACGATAAGACGAAGATCGAAGAAGTTTGAGAGGAAATAGACAGAAACGTTGAAGACAAATCGGTGATAGAGGCGGCTGGAACAATCAAGGAAGAGGTCAGGATCACAGGCATCGCCTACCAGACCTGGTCTAAGGAAATTCATGAACGCGTTCAGGAAATCAGCAATTTGGATTTCCCCCTGCAGCATTCCTCTGCCTTCCCTCATAGTTGTTACTGATTACTCTCTCAAACTCGTTTTGACTTTTTTCACTCCATTATTGACTTATTGTCCTTTGCTTACGTAGTTTTTTAAGCAGCAAACATAATATTTAGTATTTCCTCTGTAACCACGCCCATTATTGTTCACTGTAAAGACTAAATTGTCATAAGTTATTGACTATTTTTGAAGACTGCGTATTAACCACTCTTAGTCAATAGCAAATTGACTTTTAGTCAATATAACGAACGAAATCTTACATACACACTAAATGTTTATGTACAATTTCATACGTGGTGATGCATAATTTTAAACTTGTGTGCCGTCGTGCATAAAATTGTGCGTGAATTTGCATTAATTTATGCATTTTCACGCATAATATTATGCAAATTCCCCACATGCACAAAATTGTGCTAGTGGCACGTACAAAATTCTACATAAAGATTTATTGTGTAGATATTGAGGAAATAATACTTTTATTGCTGTGTAAAGTACTATTTAACAAAGGACAAAAAGTCAGTAACAGTCTGAGAGTGTAGACAGAGACCCGGGCTCCTCAGGCATGTCGTTCCTTTCTTGGAGTCCTTCTCGACATTCCTCCCCGGTCCATGCGTACTGGGTTTACCGGTACAGTATCGATACGAACCAGGGCCAGGGACGACCTAGACCAAAGATAAACGCAGGGCGCTTCAGCGACACAATTCTCAACCTTTGTTTGGTCGCCTCACGCGATTGTGCGAAGAGGATCCAAAGGTGCAGTCTCGATCCCGGTCAGTATCAGTGGTGGCGTGATGCAGCTACGCAGCGCAGAGCCTCCGCCTCAATCCTTTGGAACTCAATGACGCGTAGATTTCTTTTTTTTCTTCTTCCTTTTACGGCAGTAACTATGTAACGCACTGAAGCTGGGAGACCACTCCGAGGGATACGGGCGGCTGTTCACTGGCCGCTTCCGGACGCGCTCCTGCGAAAGTCCAACCGCTCCCCAGTCTGAGTTACGGCTTTCGACACAGCGGTGAGTCCACTGCGAGGTACCAGTCTGATTGCGAGAGTCGTTGTCGTCGCTCTGTTCCTCTTGCACCTGTGCGGGATGCCCCATGAGTGCGAGAGAGAGAGCGCGACGAAAACTACTCTCGGAATCAGTCTGCAGAAGCCCACTGCCACATTGTCTTTGACACTGTAGGGTAAGGTTACCGAACATGAATCACTTTTAAGAAACGTACTGTATTTCGCCCGAAACAAGCGATTACCTAGATTTTCTTCGATACACTCCGAGATAATCACGAAGACAACCACCTCTCAAGAACTGATTATTTAATAAGAAATGCGTTGAAATTTACAGCGCTTTGAAATTTCCCTGATATTAGTGATCCATGTCTGACTCGCGTTTTGACAGGGGCGTTCCAACTACTTCCGGTCGTCTAAATTTTGAAAGGGTGCACACAACGAAGGTGTCACTAATTTTTTTTGAGACATTTCTGATGAATGGATTCTTTGTAATAACGCTTAGAATTTCGACTCCTAACCTAACCTGTAACCTGACCGTTTTTGGACCCTTTTGCAGCGGCACTTTTTCATTTGCATATTGTAACGGTAACGGTAAGAAGGATCAGCTCCCCCGCGCGTGATTCTAGCAGTCAGAAGTGCAGTCTACATGATAAACTTAAAAAAAAAATTAAATTGGTCGATTGGTTTGGCGGTACGGGCTCGCTGACAAAAATGAACCATGGTTGGTACCACGATCTGTGTTCGGCACTTTACCCAAAGGTTCCTTCGAAATTTGAAGAAGATCGCATTGAAGCTCCTACCGTTCGATCTTTTGGAATTCGCGAAGAATCTTCATGAATTTTCTCATACTCTGCAAACTCAAGTGGCACACACTTCCTGGTGCATGCCTGGCAGGCACACACTTCTTTTCTGCATGCCTGGCAGGCACACACTTGCTTGTATGCATGCATAAGCGACGGCAAGTGTGTGCCTGAGGCATGCACCAGGAAGTGTGTGCCTGCCAGGCATGCAGAAAAGAAGTGTGTGCCTGCAGGCATGCACCAGGAAGTGTGTGCCTGTCACACACTTGAGTTTGCAGAGTACTCTTGGCAGGGTACCAAGGAGTCCTGGTTCAGACTGCCGCAGTACCACTCAAAAAAAATTTCAATACAAAATTCTGTAACATGGTTACGCAGTAATTTCCATTACAAATGTTACAAAATTGTGTATCAGATGTGCACAGACAATGTATTTTAAATGTACGGGACGGGCCAAAGTTTCCGATGTGTATCGACACTTTTCCTGTTATTCTCCATTCTTATCATTATGAGGTAAAACACAATTTTGATTTTGTCCACAGAACAGAAATGGCTTCCAAAAAAGGACCCAAGTCCTCAAGACAGCAGAGGAAAGACTCGAAACGTAAGTTCTTGCGAATATTTCAGCCCCCCCCCCCCGGGGGGAGGAGGGGGGGTACGTCTCACACAACCCTAGCCATTTGGGAGTACCTAAAGGCTGTACACTGTAAAAAATTATGTTGTAATTTAGCAGTAAATATGTTGCTAATTTTCTTAGCGATCAAAGTTGTTTTCAAATGACTTTCGTTGTTTACTAACGAGTTGCGTCGTTCGTCCACAAGATGTTTGTAAACCGGTAGACAGCCTTATTTGCATCAATTTTTATTGCCGATTAGGTCACAGACCTAGTAGAGTCCCGGTTACCCCGCAGTAACCACTTCTTAGATTGTCCGGGTTGTTTGTACGCAGCAAAATATTGTTTTGAAACAGCATAAGTCATAAAAATAATTAGCAACGAATTCGTCGTTTTAAAACAAGCAAACTTGTTCACAAACAACAGCGTTGTCGAGGTTGGTAATTGTGTTGTTGTTTTAAAACAACAATTTTTAACAGTGTACATACTTATAAGAAAAAAAAACACCTTACACTAACTTCAGGGAGTCGAGGTAATCTGAAATTACCAATGAAAAAGTATTTAAAGAGGAAATAAAATTGCCGGCATCTGGCAGTTGGCCGATTCTAGACCTAAAACGCCTATCCCTCTCTTACTCTCAACTCGTGCGTGACTGTAAAATGGTTTTGCCGGCAGCCGACGAGGCGGAGGCTCAGAAGGAAGGCACTGTATCCTGGAGACTGCCCTCCCTGGCGGACATGCTGCCGTCTCTAATGTGCTGGCCAACCTGGCCCTCCGTGTCGGCAATCGCGTGGACCAGTGACCCGACCGACTCCCGTAAGCGAATCAAAGTGAATAGTGAAGGGGGAAGCAGGGGGTGGCAACGGGTGGCAACGGCCTAGGGAGAGCGTGAAGCGATGCTCGCGCCGTCAGTGCAGAGGTTGCGCACTTCTTCGAGATTATGAAAACTAGACTGTGTTTTTGGAAAGGGCTTGAAATTTAGGGTGCATTATAGGCTAATTGCTCTTCTCGAAACTCCCCCCTTACCTAATACAAGGTAGGTTTACGCCAGACCGCGTCTTGTCGTAACAGGCTTCGCGATGTCTCGCTGCCTGTTCCTCCAATCCACGCCTGGCGTACCTACCTTGGCCTGCGGCGCTAGCCTGCCTGCGGCAGGCAATGGCTTGTCCGTTGTCGGTTATCTTTTAACTTGATGAATGCTGGGGGGAAATAGAGTTGTTTTATCTACAGATGACACGATCTTGACCCTTGTCACTTTTTTACTTGTCGAGGCTGGGGGGCTCCGCCCCCCAGACCCCCTTTTTCCAAGACAGAAGTAGTCTATCTGCAGAAATCTCTATTTTTCGCCGTTTTTTATGTGTTTTTTGCCAATAAAAACTGAACCAGTTGAGCTAGGATGGTGAAATTTCGCGTGTGCCGAGCCAAGGACATACCTAAGAAGTGTGCAAAATCTCACCGAGATCGGCCGAGCCGTTCAGGAGGAGTAGTGCGGACAGACAGACAGACCGACAGACAGACAGACCGACAGACAGACCGACAGACAGACAGACAAAACTTTTCAACCCCACTGGAGTAACAGGCTTCGCTATCGCTCAGCCAATTAAGGTGCAGTAAAAACACCGAAAAACACAAAAATTATAAAATTGAGGAAAAAACTCGAATGCGCCATGTCGATGTAAATGACTCCGCCTTTGTGATCGGTTGAATTGGAAGTATCGGACAGTCTACTAGGCCTAATGCACCCCAAATTTTGTGCTCTTTTGATCTGTACAAAGCGTTTTGCAATCAACGGCCTAGATCTTACAATCGAAGCAAAATAAGTAACCCCTGCACCTCACTCGCGCATGGCTTCACGCGCTTCGTAGGCCGTTGCCGCCCCCTGGGGGAAGAGCTGGTGAAAAGTTATAAAAAAAAATTGATGTTGAGCTATGCATTTATGAGTACATTTGTGATTATAACCGTTTAACGCTGTATTTTAGAAGACAATTACATCTAGGGTCAAAACTAGAGCCAGCTGCCATGTTCAAAAATATTACCACTTTTTCTGGACACAACGAACTGTAGCTAATTATAGTTGACAGAAGTTTAAGTAGTTTAACTGCAGTTGAAAGAAATGCAGCTGGACAAGTAAATTACTTTACATTTAAAATCTTCTTGTGATCAGTAGATTAACTTCACTCAAAGAACAAATGGACAACACGCCGTGGAGTGACTCTTGCAGTTTTGAAATGAAAATGAAAGTTCAGTCCTTTCCACCCGTGGTAATTTTCCTCTTCCGCTTCCTGGATCAATTGCCGTGAATGCGTTTCAATCACGCACTCGTCATTTGTCCGTACACTGAAAACTCGAGTTTTCAGTGTGCTTACAGGGGGAGGAAGTTGTTGGGCTGATTTTTTGTCTGCCCTGGAGGACAGTGGCCACTTTAAAGGTCGGATTCGTTCTGTCTATCGATAAGACATGATGCTCAGTTTGAGCACTATGCGTCGATAAGAAAGTATCCCGGGCTCAGAGACGCATGCTCACGTGCAACCATTTCGGTCTCATATCTCCACGAGACGCGTCCCATTTCCGGCCTCGTGTTCGCCACCTAAGCGCCCGCCAACTGCGAATCAGCCACTTGAGGCAGGGAGGGGACTTTGAACTTAAATTGTGGGCACTCACCGATTAAGAGGGCAGTAGCACTTGGTCACGCTTTCTCAATTTTCTTCGAACTTTGTGTTTGAACCTAAATAAAAAGACTTGGATGAATGCTGTAAAGAAACGGCGGTGACCAAGTGGGTGATTCCGTACGTAGGGGCCGTTTTAGCCACCATAGAAAGTCACACAATCAATCTTGCTTGTTCGGCCTGAATTTTGCCTAGATCGCGTCAATAGGACACCAGGACGACACTCTGAGCGTGGGCGAGCTACAAGTTGGCTTTCGTTTTCTCCCCCAATAAAATATGACGAAGATTACTCAAAATATGACGGAAATTACGCTTGATGGAAATTACAAACAGATGTTTCTAGCTCACTGCAAATGCCCATCGCCTCAGAAATATTCTTTAAGTTTGGCACACTAGTCCCACGTCAAGACACGCCTTTTCACGTGTAGGATGACTTTCTTAACCTAATAGGAGAGGGGTGAGAGGGGCATTCGGAAATTGGATCAATTGTTACAACCCACCGTTTTCAGGCATACACAACGGCGGTGGTTTTCAGCAGGGAGCACTCCTAGTAGTTTTTATGATGGTTACTTTGAAACCACTAAGACAAAAGTCGGAGTACGGTGGACATTTTGTACGCGTTCTGAAAGGACACTTCCAACCAATATACGATCGTAAAATTCAAGCAAGATAGTCACTATACGTTAGAGATTTGATGGGTGTGTGTGGAATTCGAAGATTAGAATGGAACAAATGGTTACAGAGCCGCAAAGTTGGTGTAAGGTGCGAATGGACATGACGGAACTTACAAAATCAACCCTTTTGGCCCCCCTCCCGCGTCACATGTTGGCTTTGAAAGTCCATATACAAAGGGAACAAGCTAGTCTGGTGCCAAACAAGATTCTTAAGTGCATAAATGGCTGCACTCGAATAAATTTGCCCTGGGGAGGGTGTGGACACGGAAACGCCCACTAAGCGCGGAATCACCCCAGTGAGAGATCAAACTAAAACAACAAATTTAAAAAAATGGTTTATTTTAAGCTTGTCAATAAAGGCCTTCACTTCGCGCACGATTTCAGGCAAAGTTTTCAACTTTGCTGCAATCGGTTAAGTGCATCTGAAAGAGCAGAAAATGGTCCATGAAATGAACCTCGGGCGTTAATATCGGACGAGAAGTAAGATACACATGGTCACCGCCGTTTGTCCCCAGCATTCATGCAAGTCAGTTTGCTTGAGGTCCAGACAGAAATTTCGAAAAAAAAGCGCACTAGGTGTCACTGCTCCCCTAATAAGAGGCCAGAAAAAGCGCTGGCGGGTAGTGCTCGAGTTCGCTCATGTAAAGATAGGGCAACCTAGTTGGCGCCAGTCGCTAATTAAATAGGGTATTTCAGAAGAGACCCGGCCTGGGAGCCAAAAAATGCCATCTGTACCGAAAACACTCAAATAAAAAAAAAATATACCAAAAACTTAAAACAGCCAAATTTTTAAAAAATGAAAACCTAACTTTTAACTTTTGTTAAAACAATTAAAATGTTTTTTTTTTTCTGTTGTTTTAGGTTTGAGATGTATTTTTGGTTTGGACCTTAGAGGTGATTAAAGTGAAGCGTTCCAATTTTTTTTTGAGGTCCGGTCTCAGTTTATTTTTTGTCCCGAGACTCCGAGAAATTGCACAGTTTTCATCCGCCTGCACAGGTCCGGTCATCAAAGTGAGGGACGGTTTCCTCCGAGGAAAAACCCACAGCACCGAGCTGGGCACGACGTACTCGGCCTTCCGCGGAATCCCTTACGCCAAGCCGCCCGTGGGGAAACTGAGGTTCAAGGTACGTGTCGTCTTGCCTGCATTGTGCTGCTATGTAACTACACGATGACATTAAACTCATGAAAACATGTCATTGCATGATAATAGCTAATTGCTCATTTCATTCTAAGACGATTGCTTCTTATTCTTATACCATTTCATGGTAGTGTATTACTCACTCATGTCATTCCATGATGACATGTAATTCAATTAACATGTATGTTGTGTGATTGCCAGCACGTTACATGTACTTGACACAATTGTAACGTGTAACGTGTAATTTAACGTGTAACTACACGTTACATGATTACAAGAAAATGCATGTGAGTTTCATGTTAGCATGAAATTACATGTACATTACATGCACATTACATGCAAATGAAATTGGAAAAAAGAATTCAGTGGCGTACCAGCAACTTAAGAGGAGGCTATGGTGAAAATGCTATTTTCTCCTTAAGTATGTGCCTGTAGGTACGCACGTTAAAACAGTGTGCGTATAGACATGCCTCACATTTTAAACTGTGTGCCATGCAACGCACACACTTGCGTTTGCAGGATGGGCGAACTTTTCGCAGTCAAGGCCTGGTCCGAAATAATTTTCCATTTCTATCCGCATCTGTTCCGTTTACATTCTTAAAACTAATCTTGGGCGTTGGTTTCTCCCCAGGCACCGGAACCAGCCCAACCATGGACAGGTGTTAGAGATGCGAGCCGCGAGGGGAACATCTGCACTCAACCTTTCGTCAATTTTAAGTTTCAGCCAGTAAGTTGTCATTTCTCCCACTCCACCATTTATTCTATAGTGTACCGTCCATGGCACCGGTACGTTTGGTCCTTCTAGGCCATGGATTGAAACGCCCAACTTTTTCATGACCGCAGGCGTCATGGGCTCTGAAGGACATCAAGGCGTTCATGGCAACGATCCCAACGCTCGTTCGTAGAGTTGGCAAGATTCTCCGCCAAAGCGAAGACTGCCTCTTCCTCAACGTTTACACGCCAGCGGTATGTGCACACCTGCTCAATTTTCTTCGAACTTTGTGTTTGGACCTCCACACAAAAGACTTGCATAAATATGCTAGAGACAAACGTCGGTGACCACGTTACTTTCTCATTAACTCCGTAAGCAGCAATAGTACTTTGTATTTTTAAAGTATACATTAAATGTTATGTACAATATTGTACGAGACATCACAGTTTTTTGTGCACACGAACTTTTCGTACAATTTTTGTATGAAAAACGGCACAAATTTCCCCATTTTGTGCCAAATCTTGTACAAATTTGTACGAAAATTTCGTGTGCACAAAAAACTGTGATGTCTCGTACAAAATTTTTACAAGAACATTTAGTGTGTATGCCTAATTTCCTTTGTAAAATTGTGTAGAAAGACAATTGTCAGTACATTATCTAATTTTTTTTATTGCTGCCACAGATGCGATAATTTGAAGGAATCACCCTGGCCCTTTTGACGCAGCAAATTGTATGAAACTTATCACAGTAGAAATATTAGTGTTCGTTCCACATCTTGTCGCTAAGAAAGTTAGCGATAAATGTGTCGCTAAGTTGCGACAGAATTTTTATCAGTGTGCCCAATGCCCTTGCCCTTCTAAGTGGGATATTCGTTTGTTGCCAGTTGCCGCACGGTGAAGAGTCCGAGTCGCTGCTCCCTGTCATGTTCTTCATCCACGGCGGGGCCTGCCTCGTCGGCGACGGTGACAGCGACATTTTTGGCCCGGACTACTTCCTGGACAAGGGCATCGTCGTCGTCACCTTCAACTATCGCCTTGGACCGTTCGGTATACACGCACACATTACGCACTCACTCCAACAACTCCAAACAAAAAGTTGTTTGTTTGGCCAAGCTCGATATCTGCTATCGGAAATCTGGCATTTACAACCAATAGCTCGTAGCCATGACAGTAACAGGTCCGAAAACAACGAAGCTTAGGTTTGTTATCGTCGTACAACTGCAACGTCGTAAAAAATCTTAGCACCGCCGTTGGGTCCTTCGTATCAGATTCTCCATTGAAGCTATCGACTTAAGCATATCGAACAAAGTACATCACCTTAACGAAGTCTTTTGAGGTGCTAAACGAGGCAAGTGTTCCAGACCAAGAGTAAGGGAGGGTGGGGCACCTAGTGACACTTTTTGGATTTTGGCACTCACTTCGATACTGTGCGAGAAATGAATCTACTTACACCTCAGAAGGTTGCTTTGATCCTTCCTTGATCGAAATAACATGTTGTGGCGTTTTGACAAAACCTATTTCTATTATTTACATAGCTTCCCGCAGACCTCTGCACTTGTCACTTGGTGCCCCAGCCCGGGGCACCTAGTGACAGGACATATACCTCACATTACCAGCATAGAGCGACGCTCCAGCTAATTGAAAACTATCCGTTTTGGACTCTTTAAGCTTTTTAAATATCAAACCATTCTGAACGGCGCCATTTTCCCCAAGAAACTGCATTTTACTAAATTGCCAATCAAATTCAATGTTCTACCAAATTGTCGTTAAAAGTAGTCTCATTTATGTTTCGTTGTGTGACAATCGGTGACAATTTACTTCGCGGTTGCCAAATCGATGTTTTGAAACGTTTAAATCGTTGAAATACGGTAAATAGAGTATGTCTGTCACTACCTGCCCCGGGGGCTCATTTTCGTTCAAAATTTTATATTAAGGAAATGAAATCACATGTTTGAGCTGGTTCAGCGAAAACAACTTACTAAAGGTCCTTATTATTGATTAAAAGTGCCAGAACGATCGGCAGTGCCGTTTACTGGAAGAATGGCGAGAAAACATTTTGTTAAAAAGTCGTAAAATCTGTGATTTTGGGTTATTATTTTCTTGCTTTTATTCTAGGGGCTAAAATATTTTGTTCAAAGTATCACTTTCACTTGAACATGATTCCACAGCATAAGACCTTTAGATTAGCCACCTCGAGGTGTCTGAAAGTGCCATAGGGTGGCCAGGGCACCCCTGTGTCACTAGGTGCCCCTGTCACTAGGTGCCCCACCCTCCCTTACTGTATTGGCGTCTAGCAAATTTTACATACATCTGAAGTATTCAATTTGGTATCGACAAAACGTGTGACTTTTAAAACCGTTCCAAACTCTGATCAGATTATGTCAGATCGTTCCTAGGAAGATAAGCATCGCTATCGCTTCACTTCTCAGCTTAAGGGGGGACCCTGGTGAAAAAATCGCCAAAATTCCAAAAAATGGTATTTTCCAAGTTTATAGATAAGAATGTGCATAGAAGGTTTCAGATTCAACAGGTTGAACACCTTTAAGCTAAGTGGGTAGTTTCTTTATCATTTGGAAGGAAACAGCATTGAGATCAGTTGTCGTTGGCTTCTACGCTCAACTTCACAGCTTTGCTCAGTCAACAAAAAATTTTGTCGTAGAAAGACTTCCTGCGTTCCTGGTTGACACCTACATGAGTCGTCTTGCATGGACTCTATTCATTGATGACTTGTCGACAAATTTTAGTGACGGAATCTTGGTATCAGCCCTACTTTTTTTTAAACACACCTACAAGTTTGAAAAAAGGGGAAAAAAATCACCTTTTTTTTAATGTTAAAATTTGAAAACTCATATCTCAGGACAGAAGTTGAATTTGAATATTCCGTCACTAAAATCTCTTCTATACATCTTTAGGATAACCCAAAAAAATTTTCAAGACTTTCCGTCCCAATGTATGACGCAGGAAGATTTATCCCCAACGCTCCAAAAAACACTAAAAAGCTACTTTTCTCAGAGACCGTTCAACATTTTGGATTGAATTTTGTTTTGGGAACTCACCATAATTAACCTAATAGTTAAGCAAAGTTTCAACTTCCTGGGATTAATTTGAAGCCTACTTGAAAGTTTCACCAGGGTCCCCCCTTAAATTTTTATCTAATATTGGTTTGAAATATTGTCCGCTGTCTATTCTTGACGTTGGTTTGCAGGACCACATTAAGCAAGTTCAGGTAGACGAATTACACTGTTCGAAAATTTTTCGTTTATTTACAAAGATTTCACTGGAAATTTTTATAAACGAGAGCTTTGTAAAACGTAGTTGATGAAATATGCCTTTAAGTCCGAAAATTCATCGTAAACATCAATTTACAAGATACTTTGTAAATCTACAAAACATTCCGTTATACTTGTGATAATTGTATATAATTAATGTAATTGATAATTGCCCGCCAGAGGCAAGTTGCACACCCCTGATGTACAGGTAAATTGAAACTATTCAACCCAAGTCAACATGACTCCGTTTAACTTATTGTTAGGAGATAAATCAACGTGTGTTTTTATACGTCGATTTAAAAAGAATCGAGTCAACTTAACCCCATTTCGTTTTCAGAACTTGAATGGATAAAAGGGCTCAGTCTTAAAAGTTCACCTTTGGCACCCTCGGCTGACAATAGTTCCATTGGACTTGGCTCCAAATTCCACTTCGTTTCGGAAATATAAGTTGAGATGACTCTGTTTTCCATTGTAACGGAAAGTGTTAGGTCACAGAAATCCTATACGCAGTGACCTGACACTCCTGATGTGCAACTTAAACTTCTTGAACTTGTGATCATCTGTAAGAATCCTTTGTTTAGTGTTAGTTCACCCTGCTAACAGTTTTCTTCTTTCTCCTGTAAAATGGTCATCGTAGTGGAGTTATCCCCTTCCTCCGCTTCCAGGATCAGATAATGACCCACTTTGGCTCTCGGAGAGATTTGGGCTGGACCCTGACGTTTGACCTTTGGCATTGGCAGGCTTCTTGGGCGTCGGCACGGAGGCGGCGCCCGGCAACGCGGGGCTCAAGGACCAGGTCCTGGCGCTGCGCTGGGTGCGCGACAATGTGGCGGCGTTCGGCGGCGACCCCAACCGCGTCACCATCTTCGGGGAGAGCGCCGGCGGCGTCTCGGTGCACCTGCACACGCTGTCCCCTCAGTCGCGAGGTTCGTGTGGGCGCAGTCCTAGACGTGGTTGACAAACGCAGGGTGTGTCGCGGGTCCACCATCCAGAAACGAACCGGCCGGAGCTTATTTTTCCCTCATTACCCACACTTAGAAGCCTACAAAGAACTACTCGTTGTAATACAAAGGAAACGAAGGCTTCGCAGCCTACGAAGAAAATCGTTCGTAATACAAACAATTTTGTTTAATTCAAAGAAAAAATTCTTCGCAGGCTGCGAAGAAGTTCTTCGTAGGCTACAAAGGATATTTCCTCTGTAACAAAATTGTTTGTGTTACAAACGATTTACTTTGTAGGTTTCAAAGCCTTCGTTTTCTTTGTACTCCAACGAGTAGTTCTGGTCAGGAATTTATCTGTCTTCTAAATCCTTGAAGTCAGAAGTATGCAGTAAGCGGGTCGATTGGACGTCCTTGATCAAGCGACTATCGTCTCGCTTGTACCCCTCTAGGTTCAACTGGTTAGAAACCCAGAGCCAAAAACCACTCGGTCAATCTGTTTCAAAACGGTGGAGGGGGGGCAGCCAGCCCTGCGTTTGTCCAACACATCTACGACTCTACGTTCACTCTCGTTCCAGGAACGTGACATCACTTTAAAACGAATGTGACAACACTGCTAATCCAAGTGTGGACCAGGTCCACGCAGAAAACGTGGAACACGAATGGCCCACCCACGCTAGGAGACGTGGACCAAGCTGTGGTCCACACTTCACAGCATTTGACTCCTCATAGGCCAGCTCTCTCCTAAGTGTGGACCGCAGCTTGGTCCACGTTTCCTAGCGTGGTCCATTCGTGGTCCAGGTTTTCAAGCGTGGACCATTCGTGGTCCACGTTTACAAGCGTGGACCATCGTGGTCCACACTTGGATTAGCAGTGAAAGCGTCACATTCCTCTGAGCATTGTATCACATTCGCTTCAACGTGGAAAAGCTGATTTATGGCTGATTCACGTGCAAACGAATGTAACAACGCTCAATGGAACGCGACATTTCGTCACATTCATTTCAATGTGCTGTCACGTGCCTGGGATATCTCTGTGGCAGAAAGGTACGGAAAATTCTGTTAATTTTTTTGCCAGGATTCTCCGTAGCCCTCTTATCAATGTTCTCCGTGGACTCTTACAGTATTCTCCGTAGGGCCCTGCAGTATTCTCCGTAGGACCGCACAGTCTTCTCCGTAGGACCTGGAAGACTGTATAGTCCTACGGAGAGCACTGTAATGTCCTACACGCTCAAGTCCTTACGGATAGCGTGTTTGTAAGTTACGGATAGTTTTGTGCAGCCATATTACGGATCGAATTTTGTTTGTAGTACGAATGTTTTCGTCCGTAATACAAAGATTTGGGAATCCGTTTGTTACAACGAAATTATTTGTAAAATACGGACATCAAAACCTTTGTATTACGGACAAAAACATCCGTATAACAAACAAAATCCGATCCGTAATATGGCTGCACAAAACTATCCGTAACCTACAAACACGCTATCCGTAAGGACTTGACTGTGTACGGAGAACATTGTGCGGTCCTACGGAAAATACTGTAAGAGCCTACGGAGAAGGGGGCTACGGATGATTAATTACCACAAGTTGTTAACAGAATTTTCCGTAGCGTTTTGCCACAGTGATGAGAGTGCAAGGGAGCGTGCTACGGAAGGAGACGTAGGGGACCAAAGTCATCACTGAGTCCAGCTGCGCGGCATTCACACTTATCATCTTACGATGGTAACGCGGACGTAACATACGCTGAAATCAAAACATGCGTATTATGCTGAAATGTCACCGTACTACAATCGCAACCAACGTACCTTACGTTGACAACGTGCGTAATACGTTGAAAATCCTGCGTACCTTACGTTGACATTCGTGCGTATTATGCAGGTTGGAAATTGGTCGTACCTTACGATTGAAAATCATCGTATTACGCACGAAAACCAACGTAAGATGAAAAGCGTGTTGACTTTGAAACCTTGATACACGCAGGTCTCTTCCACGCCGCCATCGCCAGTTCTGGTTCAGCTCTGCACGGCTGGGCCATGCAGGCCGACCCCCTGGCGAAGGCCCGCGAGCTGGGCCATCATCTGGGTATCGAGGAGTCGGACCCCGACGACCTGGCGGCCGCGCTCTCGACGATCAGCGCCGGTCGCCTCCTGAAAGCCATCTACAAGCTCAAGCACCCGGCGGTGAGTAGCTACCGGCTGGCGGAGTGTGCGCCAGAATACCGACGCAGGCGGCCTGAACTCGTTACACAGGAGACTAGAACCGAACGTGCGACCCCACCAATGAACTCGAGGCGTAAATCACTCAGCGCAGCGTTCTGGTGTACACGTGTACACATGAGTACGGGGGAGTGCACCTTACACTGAAGATAGAAAGGTCAGACTTTCGACCCCTTAAACGGTCTTACTGAAATGTACGACCGAAAAAGGGTCATACTGATATGTAAGACCGAAAAAAGGTCCGATGTATGACCGAAAAACGGTCATACTTTATAGTATATCACGGGTGAAGGCTGATATATCTCCAAGCTGAACAATAGCCAGTCACGCTGATGTCTGACCTTTTTTAGGTCATACATTTAAGTATGACCGTTTTTCGGTCATACTTTTTGTATCACCGAAAATCGGTCAGATGTTTCACCCTTTGAATTTCAGTGTACTTTCCTTAACTCATAAATTTCACATTTGCGAACGTGTTAAGGCTTTATTGAGCGTTTTAAACGACACTCAATGACAAATCAGGCGAATAAATTGCGAATTTCGCCATTATTAAACTTGTGAGCACACTGAGTACGGGCGAATTAGTACACATGAGTACATTAGTGACTCACTCCTCGAATGAACTCCTCCTTCGAAGAGCAATCCACGGGTGGGGCCACACGTTCGGTTCGAGTCGGCCATCAAGCAACTCTGGAGCTTAAATCGCGTCTGCACGCACAGTCAAGTCCTTACGGATAGCGTGTTTGTAGGTTACGGATAGTTTTGTGCAGCTATATTACGGTTCGAATTTTGTTTGTAATACGGATGTTTTTGTCCGTAATACAAAGATTTTGATGTCCGTATTTTACAAATAATTTCGTTGTAACATACGGATCCCCAAATCTTTGTATTACGGACAAAAACATCCGTATCACAAACAAAATTCGATCCGTAATATGGCTGCACAAAACTATCCGTAACCTACAAATACGCTATCCGTAAGGACTATAGCGTTTGGAGTTTTGGCCGCCTCCTCTGTGGGCTGGTGCTGGTGCACACTAAACTTCTTACGGATACATCCTATCGGTATTACGGACATTTGTGTGCAACTGCAATTACGAATAGATTTTGCTTGTAATACGGATGAAATCATCCGTATTACAAAGAGTTTTACGTCCGTACCATACGGATATTTTCGTCTGTATGTTACGGACGTAAAACTCTTTGTAATACGGATGATTTCATCCGTATTACAAGCAAAATCTATCCGTAATTGCAATTGCACAAAAATGTCCGTAATACAGATAGGATGTATCCGTAAGAAGTTTAGTGTGTGCGCTCTTGCTGTTGCTGTTCAACTTCCCCGCCACTCAAGGTGACATCCGAGACATTTATTTTATTTGATTGCAGCGGTTCTTGTGCCACGAGCTCATGATCCTGCCCGTGGTGGAGCCGCCCAGCCCGGACGCCTTCCTCAGCGAAGACCCAAGGGAGATTTTGAAGCGGGGTGACCAGGCCTCCGTTCCCATCATGTTCAGCGTCAACAATCGCGAAGGCTTGCTATGGCTCGTTGGTACGTCGGACGGGAAGATATCGAGGGGTCCTATTCAAAAGATCTTATCTGGGGGTTCCCCCCAAGACAATCTTATCTTAAACGCAGGTGAATTTCACATAGTTTGATATTTTGGTACAGCAACATATCAATATAATTTGTAAGTTTGTTACAGTAAATCTAAAGATGAGAGATGAAAGAAACCAAAAGTGCATGTAGAAATATGTTTCGCTTACCGTCGTATTTATTCTGATTGATCAAAATGAGTGAAATTTGCAGGCGTTTAAGATAAGATTGTCTTGGGGGGAACGCCGAGATAAGATCTTTTGAATAGGACCTCTCGATATTTCCCCCACTCGCACGAACCCGAATCTGATGACTCCTGGTTGTAACCTGCACTCGAAATGTCTTACAATGAAATTTGGCCTATGTTATTCGTATGTTACAGTGAATTCGGCGCAAGCATAATACGAAGCAATATTCCTTCTTAATACGAATCTTTTTAGCTTTTTCACTGTAAGATACAAAGAAAAACCTTCGTAATACGAAGAAAAACCACCTTCGTATTATGCTTGCGCCATTTCCTTCGTATCAGAGTGTGGTCGAAGTTGGTGCTTCGTGTTCCTTTCGAGGTTCCTTTTATGCATTTGCCTTATTTAATTTCTTTTCTCCCATTTTTAAGAGCTGTCAGAATTTTGCCAATGCTCTCATTCCAAGTGCGTGACATCACGTGGAAACGTACGTGACGAAATGTCACGTTCGTTTGAGCATTGTGTCACATTCGTTTGAATGTGAACAAGTTACTTTTTGGCCGATGCACATCCAAACGAATGTGACACAATGCTCAAACGAACGTGACATTTTATAACGTTCTCTTCCACGTGATTGCACGTACTTGGAATGAGAGTGTTACATGCCTATCAAAACCCACACGGAGAAAGCCTTACAAACCATTTTAGGATTTGCAAAGAAAAGCAGCTTGTTATAACGAAGTATTAAGCTTACAGAAGCTTACAAAGTAAATACTTCGTACTTTACAAACCATTTAATACTTAAAATACTTCGTACTGTTTTAATGCTATCTTTTTCCCTCCCTGAATTGACCCCAGAAAAATCCAGAACAGATTAAATGCACTAGTTTTCTTAAGAAGGAAAAGGTAGTAACTTGAACCTTTCAAAGAGAATAACCGTAGAACGGGGTAATATGAGACGACAAATTACGAGGTTTTTTGTGGTTTCCCCCTTTTAATTTCAACTTGAGGTGCTGTGGTGTTCATCACTTGTTCACTGACCCTTTGGCTACACTCCCTCCAAATTTCAGATTTTTAGGTGCAGTAGGGACCTTTCAATAACCCTCGGAATGCCGTCCCATATTTCCCTGCAATGTGGGGTAATATGAGACGAAAGAGAAAAATGGTAAAGAAGCATGGAAAATAAACTCATTTAAGCGGGTTTGGAGCTTTTTAAGTTCTTTTCATTCATTTTAAAGATGATTGGGGACTATAGTGAAGAAGAGATAAAATCTGTAGGGAAGAAAAATGGGTGTCACTAAAGAGAACTGAAAAATGTCCACTTGAAATTTAGAACAGTGGAGGTTTTTACGACCTTTATAAAACCTGTCAGAATTTAGAGGATTTTCGTTTGGCTCCTAATAATCCTGGCGACTCTGTGATTGCCTTCGTGCGTTTCCTGTGAGCTGCCAAGGTCTCCTAGATCACTTAAAAAATTCACGATGGTCTTCTGAACAAACGCTTGAGAGCAACACGACAAAAACTAAAACAAGTGCGCTTTGTCTCGATTTTCTTTCATGTCTCATATTACCCCGTTCTACGGTATCGTAACAATCTATTTTTGCCGTGCGAGAAAGATCGTGATTACACTCTCTACACACTAAACTTCTTACGGATACATCCTATCTGTATTACGGACATTTTTGTGCAATTGCAATTACGGATAGATTTTGCTTGTAATACGGATGAAATCATCCGTATTACAAAGAGTTTTACGTCCGTACCATACGGATATTTTCGTCTGTATGTTACGGACGTAAAACTCTTTGTAATGCGGATGATTTCATCCGTATTACAAGCAAAATCTATCCGTAATTGCAATTGCACAAAAATGTCCGTAATACAGATAGGATGTATCCGTAAGAAGTTTAGTGTGTACTCCTCATTAACAGACGCATTTCTGTAAGCAACCATAAAACTCTGTCTTTCACGGTGAAACCGATATCTGGAAATTTCCAGATATTTTTTCGCATTTCCAGATTCTATCATCTGGAAATGGCCGTTTTTTTTTCAGATATTGTCTGGAAATGTCTACTTTTTCCAGATAATATCTGGAAATAAATTTTTCCAGATAATATCTGGAAATAAATTTTTCCAGATAATATCTGGAAATAAATTTTTCCAGATAATGTCTGGAAATAAAGGCCTTGACGCCGAGGTCCACGGATTTGCGACCTGGGGGTCCCCGATGGTGTCCACGAGGTTCTCAGGACACGGGAAGTCCAACGCCGAGGTCGCCGACGCTCTAGGACAAGCGGTTCCGGAGATACCAAGACGTACCACAAGGAGTCCGTCAAAGCAACTTTTTAGTCGGCGGCCAAAATCATCATCGGCCTCTGGCTGCGTTCCACTTGGGTGTCCGGAACTTTTGACTTCAGCATCGTGTTTAGGTAGTGCTAGACTACCAGGAACCCGTCAGCGGTCGTCGTCGGACCTCCGGTGCGCCCAGGATGCCGACGAACGTGGGTGCTGTGCCGCCACACGGTTCAACACCGTTGTCGCCACCACCCAGGTGGTCCCTGGTGGCGTCCTCGAGGTCCCCAGGACACGGGGAGTCCAACGCCGAGGTCGCCGATGCTCTAGGACAAACGGTTCCGGAGATACGAGGATGTACCACAAGGAGTCCGTCAAAGCAAATTTTTTAATTGGAGGCCAAAACACCTTTGGCCTCTGGCTGCGTTCCACTTGGGTGTGCGGGACTTTTGACTTCAGCACTGCGTCGGGCTGCTCCTGGGCTACCAGGAACCCGTCAGGGGCCGCTGTCGGACCACCGGTGCGCCCATGATGCCGACGAACGTCAGGCCCGCCGGCGCGCCGTGGCGGGCCGGGTGCCTGAACGATCGCGTCGCCACCGCCGCCGCGTCCTCCGACACGACCAACAGCATAGACCACGGGGGCTGACGCCGTGGGCACCGACGCCGCTGACGTGTCCGTCAACGCCACAACGGCCGCGGCGACGATCGTTCAGGCACCCGGCCCGCCACGGCGCGCCGGCGGGCCTGACGTTCGTCGGCATCCTGGGCGCACCGGTGGTCCGACAGCGACCCCTGACGGGTTCCTGGCAGCCCAGGAGCACCCCGACGCAGTGCTGAAGTCAAAAGTCCCGGACACCCAAGTGGAACGCAGCCGGAGGCCAAAGGTGTTTTGGCTTCCAACTAAAAAATTTGCTTTGGCGGACTCTTTGTGGTACGTCCTCGTATCTCCGGAACCGCTTGTCCTAGAGCGTCGGCGACCCCGGCGTTGGACTCCCCGTGTCCTGGAGACCTCGAGAACACCACCAGGGACCACCTGGGTGGTGGCGACAACGGTGTTGAACCGTGTGGCGGCACAGCACCCACGTTCGTCGGCATCCTGGGCGCACCGGAGGTCCGACGACGACCGCTGACGGGTTCCTGGTAGTCTAGCACTACCTAAACACGATGCTGAAGTCAAAAGTTCCGGACACCCAAGTGGAACGCAGCCAGAGGCCGATGATGATTTTGGCCTCCGACTAAAAAGTTGCTTTGACGGACTCCTTGTGGTACGTCCTCGTATCTCCGGAACCGCTGGCCCTAGAGCGTCGGCGACCTCGGCGTTGGACTCCCCGTGTCCTGGGGACCTCGAAGACACCATCGGGGCTCCCCAGGTCGCAAATCCGTGGACCTCGGCATCAAGGCCTTTATTTCCAGACATTATCTGGAAAAATTTATTTCCAGATATTATCTGGAAATGCTGATTTTTTTTCCAGATATATATCTGGGATTTGACTATTTCCAGATATTATCTGGAAAAAGTAAACATTTCCAGAAAATATCTGAAAAAAAAAACACGGCTATTTCCAGATAATATCTGGAAATGCGAAAAAATATCTGGAAATTTCCAGACATTGGTTTCACCGTGTTCTTTCTTAAATACTCAAAATTTTAATTGTAATTAACTTAGAAAACGGTAATATCCGTACAGCAATAAGCAATTGCTCAGTAATACTGACAAAAAATACTAAGTATCATGGTTGCTTACAGAAATGCGTCTGCTAATGAGAAATAGTCAGTGAAAGGCTAAGAGTGTACTCTTCTGAGGAGGAAACGGTCAACCTCACCAACATGTCGTTCATATCAGGAACACGCCACAGATAACGTTTATATACCGGGGTAATTCCACGCCAACTTGAACACTCATAAACCTGACGTCGTCCGATTTCAACCAAAATTGGTGAATCGCCACCAATTAGTGTCTAGAATGACCCCCTAAAATGGTTTTGGCCAATAGCCCATAGTTCCGGAGATGTAGCACTTCACCATTTTTGGCCATTTTCCAAGTTACAGAAACAGTGTTTCACTTAAGTGCTATTATCTCAGCTCCTATTGGACTTACAGGTCTGATTCTGTGCTCATTGGAAAGGGAATGAAATTTTGCATCAAAATGTGGTACTTTTAGGTTGATAGGTCAAAAACTTAAATAAATGTCTTTTTCGATTAAATGTTTAACTTGAAAATGTCGTTTCCAAAATACGTCATCCTGAAAAAAAAAAAATTTTTCACCAAAAGGTCTCCTAAGGTGTCTACTTTAATGTCCTAAAGTGCTTCAAAAAGTATTTGAGTTTTGCAGTATTTGCAGGGGAAACCGTGATGAAATGTGCCCAAAAAGTGCACTTTTTTCACTCTTCGACCAGCCTACGATGGTCCTGTTGCAGTCCCACTCCTTCACCACCCTCTAAACTGTTACTCCTATGCCCAGCATCTATTGGTATGTATCAAAGTAGTTGTTTGAGTAAGTCTGAGCGTTCAGGGAAGGGGTCAGATCAAATTCCAGCTTAGAACTTTTCGTAACAAGACATCAAATCGACTACTGAGTAACTCCACCCCAAGGTAGACCGAGATCTGGGATTGGGTCATGGATTCGGTTCAAACATTGTGGGTTCAATAGGTACCACGAGTACCTATCAACCCTAAAAGGAAAGTTGGCTAGCTCAATTAGAACCTGAGATATTTGCATTTTTCTAAATTTGACTAATTTAGCAGAAAAATGTCGCTTCCCGATTTTTTATGGTAAAAGTTGTTTGTTTAGTTCTGGCTTATGATTCTTCTTTCTAGTCATAAAAAAAGAAAAAGAAAGGTGGTGGTAGGCCAAGTTTTGTACGTTGCTTGGTTTGGCCTACTTGAGCAATTTTGTCGAATTCATCGAAACTTTCAAACCCAAAATACTCCACCTTGGATTTGAACCTGGTACGTCTCATTTCACTTCTATTACTCTAATAAACATCTGCTACATAGTCCCTAGCACCAACAATTCCATATAGGCCAGAAAAATAAAAAACACATTTCTCAATTTTCTACTTTGACCTAATTTTGGCACTTTCATCAAGATTTGGGCTTCTACATGACCATGGGTGATAGGAAAGATCCTCCCTGCCCTCAATTTAGATAGTATCAACACAAACAAAGAAACCCAAACTCAAGGTGCACTAAAACTTTATAATGAAATTGTTTCAAGCAAATTTTAGTAGTTTTCGAGGGGTGTGAGGAATTTAAATCGGATGAAAATGTAATGTGTCTGCCAAAGGTTGATTTGTGGTTCATTAGTTAGCTTTCTCTAGTAGGTTGTGAGCCCTTTTAACTATGACTATAAAGGGACTATACCAGGGACCACCAGGGACTATAAAGCAATTGTTTATTACAGTAAAAGAAGTGGAATGAGACGTATTAGGGTCAAATCCAAGGTGGCGTATTTTGGGTATGAAAGTTTCAATGAATTCGACAAAATTGCTCAAGTAGGCCAAACCAAGCAACGTACAAAACTTGGCCTACCACCACCTTTCTTTTTCTTTTTTTATGACTAGAAAGAAGAATCATAAGCCAGAACTAAACAAACAACTTTTACCATAAAAAAATCAGGAAGCGACATTTTTCCACTAAATTAGTCAAATTTAGAAAAATGCAAATATCTCAGGTTCTAATTGAGCTAGCCAACTTTCCTTTTAGGGTTGATAGGTACTAGTGGTACCTATTGAACCCACAATGTTTGAACCGAATCCATGACCCAATCCCAGATCTTGGTCTACCTTGGGGTGGAGTTACTCAGTAGTCGATTTGATGTCTTGTTACGAAAAGTTCTAAGCTGGAATTTGATCTGACCCCTTCCCTGAACGCTCAGACTTACTCAAACAACTACTTTGATACATACCAATAGATGCTGGGCATAGGAGTAACAGTTTTGAGGGTGGTGAAGGAGTGGGACTGCAACAGGACCATCGTAGGCTGGTCGAAGAGTGAAAAAAGTGCACTTTTTGGGCACATTTCATCACGGTTTCCCCTGCAAATACTGCAAAACTCAAATACTTTTTGAAGCACTTTAGGACATTAAAGTAGACACCTTAGGAGACCTTTTGGTGAAAAAAATTTTTTTTTTTTCAGGATGACGTATTTTGGAAACGACATTTTCAAGTTAAACATTTAATCGAAAAAGACATTTATTTAAGTTTTTGACCTATCAACCTTAAAGTACCACATTTTGATGCAAAATTTCATTCCCTTTCCAATGAGCACAGAATCAGACCTGTAAGTCCAATAGGAGCTGAGATAATGGCACTTAAGTGAAACACTGTTTCTGTAACTTGGAAAATGGCCAAAAATGGTGAAGTGCTATATCTCCGGAACTATGGGCTATTGGCCAAAACCATTTTAGGGGGTCATTCTAGACACTAATTGGTGGCGATTCACCAATTTTGGTTGAAATCGGACGACGTCAGGTTTATGAGTGTTCAAGTTGGCGTGGAACTACCCACCGTTTGCTCGGACGTACTTTTGGCACATTTTGGTGCATCTTTGATATGGACAAATCAATTGGTTTAAAGAAAAAACAAAAGTACACGGTGTCTTAAGTCGCGAGCTGGAGAAAATAATCTGGATCTTTCGCGCGCGGCTCATGTGATTCCGTTACGTATCGTAGGGTCAAACTGATTCTGCACATCAACCGTTATAAATTTCTACGGGAGGGTTTTTATTCAAGGTTTCTATCCTCAGCCAACCCGACGGCCGGGCGCTTTGCCCCAGAGACGGAGAGAGAGATGGCGCTGTTGGAACGTCGGCGTGCCAACCTGTGCTTCCTGCCCGAGGCGCTGTACGACGGGCTGGACCCCGAGCAGCGCGTCCAGTGCCACGACGAAATAATGCAGCACTACTTTGATGGCAAAACCTTGAAACTTGACATGCTGCCTCAGTTTCTAAACGTACGTAAATCCATACAATAACTTCACATTTCGGCGCCAGTTTGTCTTGTAGGATTTTGAGCACAGTGGCAAGTGACCTAGAGACTATGAGGGTGTAAACAACACTGTAAAAACGGTTATGAATTTTTATAACGAATTTTTAATGAAATTTTATAACATTGATGTGAAAAGTCATAACATCGACCGATTCATAACTTTTTCATAACGCTATCATAACAAGTCGCTTGTGATGAGTTTTCATAACATAGTTATGATTTTGTTATGAATTTTCATAACACACTCGCCCGCCGCGGCGGGGTGTCATATACCTGCACCATCCTTCTCCCTCCAACGCACTTGGTGTAGCTCAGTGGTTCACCCTCCGACTCCGAACCAGAAGAGTGGAGGTTCGAATCCCGGTAGTAGAGCATCGACAAAAGCCAGTTTCGGAATGATTCCGACCAACCAATGGCGTCAAATAGCTACCAGTATGACGAAATCATTTTTGTTTTTCATTTCACGTTTTTTCATAACAGCGTTATAAGTTTTCATAACATATGTGTTATGACTTTTTCATAACAATTTCACAACAATGTTATGAAAATAGTTTCATAACATGTTATGAAAATGTTATGACTTTTTTCTTACAGTGAACTCAAGAAATCGTAATCGTATACGGTATAACGACGTATGGTCGTATTAGATGTGTATTACGGCATTGAAATGCCAAAATGTTAACGTTTCTTTTTTCACGTCTCTTTTCCACGAAATCCTACACTCAAGACTCCTTACGGACACCATGTATCCGCAATACGGACGGTTTTGTGCAAGCGTAATTACGGATGGATTTTGTTTGTAATACGGATGATTTTATCCGTAATACAAAGGTTTTCGTGTCATACAGACAAAAATATCCGTAAGGTACGGACGAAAAACTCTTTGTAATACGGATGAAATCATCCGTATTACTAGCAAAATCTATCTGTAATTACGATTGCACAAAAATGTCCGTAATACAGATAGATGTATCCGTAAGAAGTTGTGTACAAGAGCTTTACAGCCTGGCTGAAGGTTCATTAGCGCAATTTGAACGTTTTCAAGTGCAATCGGCTGTTGCAGCCAGTTTACAATCATGCACTGGTCCCACGGTCCTCACTGTATACAATCCGACTTGTGCAGGCATTTGCCGACGTAGCTTTCCTCAACCCCTTGTACGAGGTGACGAAACTTCACGCTATCAACGAGAAAGCTCCCGTCTACGTGTGTCACCTGAACTACGATGGCGGACTTCACTTCTTCAGGAGGCTCTTGCAGCACAAACATCCAGGTAAGCACACTCGTTAAGTCCCTAGGGACTTGGAGAAGGTGAACACGCTAATTACTAAATACATTTTAGTGCTTGCACAGTAAAGTCCTTACGGATAGTTTTGTGCAGCCATATTACGGATAGAATTTTGTCTGTAATACGGATGTTTTTGTCCGTAATACAAAGGTTTTGATGTCCGTAATTTACAGATAATTTCGTTGTAACATACGGATTTACAAATCTTAGTACTACGGACTGCATAGAAATGCAGGAAGTTGTGCGTAACTAATCTCGAAAGTGTGTGTTGCTGCGCATGAAATCTTATATTTCACGCGCATGTTTAATTTCTTGCAAATGCTACGTACTTAAAAAATACCCAGTAATTAAGTGTGCACTGTGGAAACATGTGTTTAGTGAGGAACCTCCGTCCACCCGTGCAGGAGGTTTCTCCGTAAATGTCCCACAGATTTGTCTCATACGCCTTTGTCCCCACCCCATACCAAGTGGAAGACAAATCTTTGTTTCATTCAGTCTGCTTATCAGGCATTTTATCAGAGTTTCCAAACCTTTCTTGCTCTACACAGTACTAATGTTGATCTTGACCACACAGCCTTTGTGAAACGCAATCTCACGAAATGTCACTTTCTTGGCAGGAATGGGCCACGGCGATGAGCTGGGCTACTTGTTCCGAATTCACCTCCTACCGGAGACTACGCTTTCAAGCGCTGACATGCTCTATCGACAGAGGATGCTCAATCTTTGGGTATGCTTCATAAAATCCACGTAAGTACGAAAATAATCGTTTTACTAATCTGCAGGTGGTTCCTTGTGCAATGTCAGTGGACTAAGAAAAAGGAAAGAGAAAGAAACGAAACGGCTGCTTTCAGTTAATTCTGTACAACCCCGCGGAGAGTTTGGACTCACTAGGGACCCTCTCTGTCAGAGGTGCGCACGGTCGACTGCTGGAGCAAACCGGGCGATTTTCGCCCCGTGCGAGGCTAGCACTGCGGGGCTCCTGGCCGGGCGGCGTTCCCCCTGCATCCCCATTCTGGCCTCGCACCGGGCGGTTTTTCCCCAGTTTACTCTCGCCTAATCAGAGGGCCGGATTCACGGCCAGCGTGCGCATCTCTGACAGAGAGGGTCCCTAGGACTCACTCATCGGAGTCTTTCCGTGATACGATATCCATCCATGGTACAGAGAATTCGGGACAGTCACCACTTCCTTGTGGCTAAAAAAATGTTGCGAACTTCCTCTTTTGATAAATCAGGAGTCACTATTTTTGTCGATCGGACTAAGTTGATGCAAAGTTAATTTAGTTCAGTACGCTCAGTCCACATTCTCCTTTGGGAATGTGGATGTGAATCAGCCATAAATTAGCTCATTCACTTCCACACGAACTCAGAATGCTCAAAGGAGAATTACTGTCACATCCCTTCAACGCGATATCATTCTCCTGTACTTGCTTCCACTTGAAGAATGCAAACTGATCTATGGTAAGTGCCTCATGGACT